TCAGTCCTTTGGGTGTCCAAAAGGATAGAAAGAGTAATACTCGGCTGGAGATTTACTTGTCTGCCGTGCCAAAACTCACTGTCACTGTGCCTCAGCAGACTGCAAGAAGTCGACCGCACTCTCCAACGCCTGACATGGACTGTGTGTGCCCAGCCACTTCAACCCTTGGTCGTCCCTTCACAAAAAGAACTGGTCAGGTGAACTCAGGTGTCCCATGGTGTCCCAGAAATCATCATATTCCTCGTTGATGCCATTTTGCTGGGATTCCGGCGCATGTGGTCCCAAATCCTGTCCCATCGGTTTTTTATGTTTTTGTGAAAAGAATCCGTTCAAGTTGCTTCCATCACCCTCCTCATCCTAAGGTGGCCGGGTACATTTTCCATTGAACTCCCTGTCCATTTCCATCAATTTCCAGACTGCTCCATACAGCCAACATCAGCCAACCACCAACCCCCGCCGTGCCGGATCGTGCCGGCCTCTCTGAGGTCGGCCTCCAAAACCCCGAAGCCACCAATCAAGCTGTGCACGAAGGGTCTGGCCGCGCGATATGCCTGCAGCAGCTCCTCATCTGGGGCCGCCACCAATTGGGGCGGGGCAAGGGTCACCAAGAAGCCCCAGTAAGGTTTGAAAAAGCCAAAGACTTGCAAATCAAGAGATGAGCGATGAACTTATTGTGAATAGAACTGTTCCTTGGATCTACTTGTCGGACCCAACTTTTGCTTTGCTATCCTAGCCATCAAAAACCATCGAAATCATCAAACCCTCAATGTCTGCACCCCAGTCCTCCAGCAGGACCAAGGCGTCATGCGCAGTATCAGGAGGACACGCCCAAACGCAATGGGGTCCTGAAGCCTGTCATATGCAGCTTGGATATGCTTCACTTGAATTTCTAGCCTTCTGATCTTCATCCCAGTTCTCTGAAGCTGGTACCCCCCAAAAATCAGCAACCAATCCGGTGGTCTTCGGATTAAAATCAGCAAACCACCTGGGGAACTTTGTCATCTTCACCACCCAAAGCCCCAATGTTGTCGCCTGCGCCACTTGGAACGCCTTCGCAACTGCCGGGGTCGCGGTCTGGTCAGAGCCCACCAAGAGCAGTGGACCTGGAGGAAACGACCAATCCGCAAAAGGACCCGACAGGATGAGATCCAAGGATTGCTTTAATAACATGATTCAAGACATTTCAAAACCTACAAGCACGGGGCTGCAAAGTCAAACCAAACTGAAGCAAAAGAGAGCCAATAAAGAGCCTACCTAGGAATTCCAACCCGCTTTGCACAACTAGGTTGACTGACAACTCCATGATGAGTCTCATCCTTGATGATTTTTCTTCCTACATTTCCTACTCAATGTGATGATAAAACTAAGCTGTTCACCCAATGTCACCACCGCCCCTTCAGCTGAGGGGCGTTGAAGCTCCAAGATCGGAGCCAAGCACAGCGCCAAGGCGTAGCCTTGGGCACCGCGGGGCACCGCCAGAGATACGCCGTGCGCCACGTCTGCAAGGGCCTTGAGACTTTGAAGGTGAACTTCGCTTGCAGAAGTGTCCTGCAAGTTTGTTTTGGTGGGGCAATCAGCAAAACAAACATGGAGATAGTTCATGAAAAACTATGAATTAACCAAACCATGAAAGTTTGGAGTGTCATTGAGTCGTAAACTGGAAAGCTCTCATTTTCATCATGGTATCGGTAACGTTGTTGTTTTAAGAGGCACCGAACATGATAGTTTCTTCTTGCTTTCAAAACAATTCCGGAACAATCTGCGCAACGGTCTAACTCTGGTTTCACTGTTGATGCTACAAAGGAGAGTCTTGCTCGAACCACCTACCTGTTGTCAGCAAGTCCTTAGTATGCAATAACCACATCAAAGTGGACCTAAAACATGAACTTCTACTGATACTTACGTGCATCAAAAATGATTGTGTTGCAATCAGGGGACGCTTTAAGAAAAAAAGCTTCAGATACAAACACATCCACTGAGCATCTAGCTCCATGATGGTGTGCACACTCATCACACTCACTCACTAAATGAAGGACACCTCTCACCAAGTCGGCCTTTCAGATTTTCAAGTGCAATCTCCACAGCATGAGCCTTCAACACTGCAGAAAATAAACATTCAAACAAACTATACTGGGAAATACGGTTGAATAGCCACATAATTTTTTGCAAAACTGGTAGGTTTGGTTTTAGGCTCCTCGACTGCAAGGATGAACTGCTTGTTCGCCAGCCACTGCGCAATCTTTTCGATCTGAGGAAGGGCATGCTTACCTCAACAAACTAGGCAACCTCAAACCCCAAACAATTGAACTGGCAATGACTCCTGTGTGTTTTAGAGTCCAAAATATTCATTGAACCTTGCAAATGCAAAGATAACCATAGGCAGAAGGGCAGGAAAGTGACACCGCTGGGTACCCAAGCAGCTATAAATCAGATCGAATGCGGTGAAGCTTGAAAGCTGAGGCTCAGCAGAAGTAGTTGCCGCCGCTACCCGGTCCCCGCTACCCGGTACCCCAAATTCATCGGAAAAATCAGGCCCATCGCAGGGCTGTGAATTTGAATATCTTCAGATTCTCCGCCTGAAAAACTTTAGGTAATGGACAAAACGTCATATTGCTCCTAAACAATGCTTTGGCTACGCGACCTTTCTCTTCCAACAGGGACGTCCTGGCCCAAAAAAACGACACCACTGGCAGCCAATTCCTGCACCAAGTCTCTGGGCAATCTGGTCATCTCACATCTGCCACTCTCCCAGGAAATTCGCAGCTGGCCATGACTTTGCAGCTGCACCAGCGCAAAGGCCTGCAAGTGCACCAAGGTTGGAGTCATTGGGTCATTCTGGACAGGGAGCTGAATCTGATCAAGAATTATCATATTTGACAAGCTGATCATAAGTTGATCATAAGTTGATCATTGATCCTAAACCAATCACCAGCCAATCGTAAGAAATCAACAATGCCTCCGATCGCCTGATCCCTGGGATGCATTGGAGAAATCCAGCCTCTGAAGCGCAGGAACCATGGAAACTGAAGACCGGCACCTGAAGGCAATACATCTTTTACATGCTGGGTGTGATTCCAATATGTGCAAAAACTAGCCAAATGACTCCTTCTCAAACTCGGAACCTCCCCAAGAAAACACATTGCCGAAATGAAGGACTTTATGTTTGGACTATGTTTGGAACTCCATTTGACGCCTGTTCGAATATCTGTCTTTTGCCACTGTCGGTGCACCCTTTGGACGCCTCCGCAACAGTGGCCAATCGTGAGATCTTCTCGATGATTTTCAGAAATGCCGCGGGCACAACAGCGACCCAGTCGTCCTCGATACGGTCCATGGCAATCCGTTGCCAAACCAACACGAAACAAAAGCGCCTTTTGGGCCAAGCTGAGTGATGTTGCGCTTAATGAGGCAACCCAAATTATAAACCAGCCCCAATTGGCGTTGATCATTGGCTTACGATGGCTTACGGCTTACCACATAGTTTTCCCAAATGAACTGCTGGAAGCCCAACATCTCACAGTCCTGATCCGACACTCGACCTGAATGATCACCATCGACCCGAAGTACTTGAAGAGTCTTGCCGAAGGTACCATTGATGGAGACCTCCAAGTTGCCGCCCGTCAAAAGAAATCGCACCAAGTCCTGCAGACATGGAGGGATTGGCGTGAACAAATCAAAGCAACTGGCAACAACCTTTAAAGGGGCTTATAAATGCTTATAAGAATAACCATCTCATGTGGGTTCATCATGGTTCATCATAGTGTCTGACTCTCCCAAAATATCTGCATCCAGCCTTGCTCTTGGTGGTAAAGCTCGCTTCCCGCGCCACCAGTCGCTTGAATTTTGGGCTCAGCATCCATGGGAACCGTCTGGATCCGTCAGGAGCGACAGGCTGCAAACGGTGTGGCCAAACATTGGGACCCTAAAGGGCACCTAGAAATGGCTGGTATGGCTGGTATCCCACCATCTTATCATCCAGTTGTAGGGATCAAAACATGTACCCAAGGAGTTTTTTGCTTTTTCGAAAAAAACCTACATGTGGCAGGTCTTTGATGGATGTTGGTATGTACGAGTACTGAGTTGCGCCCAATCAAGGCACTTACTTCCATCTGTTGCCAAAACAACCGAATCTGTCGGCTGTTTTTGGAAGCCTTGTTGTTTCCTGGCGACGCCATAGCCAAGCAGCAATGAACAGCAATGTTTGCACAACTCCCGGAGAAGCAATTGGTTTGTCACCAGGCTTGCCACTCTGAAAGCACTATCCGATATCCCAGTTCTCTCGGATCACACATACATTGACATGTATATATCCATGGTTGCTGTTAACTATCTGTTAACTTTATAGGACCCAATTTGGGAAGACGTCCATTGCAACTCTGAAACGCCAGCCCTTTTTTTGGCGGTCGCCGGTGCAGAGCTGCTGTTGCTCTTCTTTTCGACCTGCGCGGCGTCCCCTTTGTAGGGAATGGTCCGCCCATCTTCCCGGGTCAGATGGTGTCTGAAAATGGAAGATGATATGAGATGATATGAGATGATATACACTTTTGATCACTTTTGGATTTTTATAGATACCCTATTTTCAGATCTATATTAGTCACATATTCTTCAGGAATTTCGGTCGAAACTCAGACAGTGGCACCGGTGGAATCTCTAAACAACTCAATTTCTCATAGAACACCATCAACGTATTATCTCATACCTACTGGCTAAAAGGCAATGATCGTTCTAGTTCTACCTGTAGAATGGCAATTTGATGCAATTTGGTATTGATAAAAACGAATGGCCTGACTAGTCCTTGAATCCAGCTGGATGGCATCGCAAACTTTTTTTCCGTTGAAGGCGAAGTCCATTGGCTGCGCGATGTAGACAGAGACTCCAGGTGCTTTTTAGAGGTGGGGAATGCCCGAGTCACCGGTTGCAGCACTGGTTTCAAAACGGATGATGTCTCTGGGCAAATGGTGGGGTTGGCCTGAATATTGATTGACGGTTTCACTATTTTTGGGAAACACCTGCAGTTGTCTGGCAGGCATCGGCCTATCGATTCAAATGCCTACGCACTGAAAACTTGCCACAGCAATCGTGACAACTATTTCAGAGTCTAAATTTCACTCTGCACTTCACAACGAATCAGAAGGAGTGTGACCATTCGGCCTGTCTCCAGATTCACTCGTATGCATTGCATTAGAATTTCTACATATTTCATCACAGGGAGCGGCATCGCAGTCTTTCAAATTGAGAGCTGCTTTGAGCTCTTGCGTTGCCTTCTGGGCCTCTGTGAGGAGGGTTGGGAGTTGATCAGAATATTTCGCAACTGCCTCATCATCTTGGTCACATCCACTCCATTCCTGGGCGCCAACCTCGCAGTACTCATTCCATTGGCCATACTCTCCGTACTCTTCCCAGTCCTCCGGTGAAGCTTCGCAGTCCCAATCTTGCCATTGCTCCTCTTCTTGGTGCTGGTACTGGTCGCAGCCGTTCCAAAAATTAGATGCGCCGATTTCACAGCACTCATCCCATTCTTCATAGTCTTCTTCCCATTCCTCCTCAATCTCCTCACCGCAATTGAGCCAAGCACACTCATCACAAACACTGCGCCCGCAAGCGCAGGTGTATTTCAGGACAGAAGCCTTTAACTCTTCACAAATGTTGCATCTCCACATCGGAATGGTGCCCTTTTCGATGGTCATGGTCTGTCCACATTCGCATGTAGGGAGATCATCATCGTCACCGCTCACTGACATGTCTCAAGACAGAAGAATTTGGACTGCAAGCTGCAAAAAACATTCCGTGTTTGCATTCGGGGACTGTGGCGGACCCCGATTTCCATGGTCAGCTCTCATCATGGAAGAAAACCTGCAGGTATCCCGACAAAATGGCGAACAGTATCAATGTTGATAACAATAAAATTACTTCAAGATGTCCTTGCCTTTGAGATCTATATTTTCTTGGAATCTGATCCACCTTGTGTCCTGGATTGGTGTCTTTAATTGCCAGAGGACTGACTGTTTTTGTGAAGCCCCTCAAGAATCTACTGAGATCTAGTGGACCTTTTGATGATGTTGGAACTGATTGAAATGACAGCATCATGATGAGAAGCTCGTCAGCTGATCTCACGCGATCTTCCCAAATCTTCCAGGGCCTTCAATGGCAACGTCCATTCTCGGAAACCTCACCGAACGGGTGATCTTTATGCATCCTATCTGGAGATTCTGCTTTTCTATCTTTTCTTTTCTGTTCCTCATTTTTGACAACCTCTGTTGACATGTCAGCTCTAGAGCTCCAGAGGGTGGACGACTACGCATTCAACATGGCTCCTGCCTTAGACTTCAACGAGTTGTCTGTTTTGCTCATACCATTTTTGTCCTTATGATTTGCTCCGGTTATGAGGTTTCTCCGAGTTGAAGCAAGATACATGCAAAAATTGATAGAATGTGAGCTACTACAGTAGACTAGTGGACACGGAAAACATCAAACAAATCATCAACCCCCGAGGCACTACGGCCAGCGGCTCGGAAGCCATTCCCCATGAGCCAGGGCACCAAAGGGCACCAAATCCACCGCCTGCTACGCCCAGCTCCTGTCAGGTCTAGCGTAAACAACCAAAAAAAAAACCTCCAGTGAAGCACTATTTTGCTAGCTGCTAAAGCAAACTGGAATGGCAAGATACTGCTTGCACATTCGCTTCATTTAAGAATACATAACTGGTCTTGACATATCCAATCCGCAGTAAGCAATCTCTCACGGAATGTGCGTTTGTCGAAGAAAAAAATGCATACATTTGTCACGTCAAATACACTTTGGAATTTGGGGGTTCTCCTTTTCCAGAAAAACCCATGCCATGTCATCACTGCACATCACTGCACACATCTTCAGAGTCTAAGAGCTTTAGGGCGCACAAACCTGGTGCCAGGAAGACGCGCACTCGACCGAGTCAACAATTTGCGCCACCTTTGTCTCAGAGATTCAAGGACCAAATTTTGATGCCACTTGCACGTGTGTTGACTGCTTTTGCCAAGATCGGCAAATATCACAAATCGCTTGATTAATTATTAATCAGTTAATGTCGCTTGGCGCTGCTTTTCCTCAGACAGGAAACGGGCTCTGGGTTCTGATGTGTCTATAGTCTAACAAGTCTGACAAGATTCTGCACAAGCAGTCTAACTTGACTAGCGAGCTTTGCTCGGCTTAAAATGGTTTGGAACAAACCAAAAAGGCGGAGCATGCGGAAAAATGCGGCTTGCGCAATCGACTCATTTGACAAGCATCACATCAAATGCACGGGCTATTGGGGCTATTGGGGATCTTGCGGCCCGTAAAACTTCTCCAGCTGTTCCTCCAGCTTCTTCTCCTCTCTTTCAATCACGTCCACAAGCTCACCTGCTGCTTTGGCTGTGGCACATCCTTTCACGAGGGAAGCCACACCGTTCACAACGTCGATGAGCCCGACAGCGATCCCAACCCCACCACCAACGATCCCCAGAGCTTTCGCTGCAGTCTTTGCACCGTCGCAAGCAAGTTTGCCAGCTTTAAAGATAATTTTGCCTGTGATCTTCTCTCCAAGATCAAGAACAGAAGAAGCAAAACTTGCGAACGTTCTGGATCCTTGAACCCATTTGTCAATTGTCCAGCCTCCCTCCTCATCTTCCTCCTCCTCCAACTTTTGCATGGAAGCCTGAAGCTTCTCACGCAAGTCCATGAGTTGCTGCTGCTGTTTCCCATCAATGATCATCTCCGCCACCGCAGCCCCCACGCTTGTGACGGCGGAGGTTGATGCGAACACCGCAAAAGCTATGCCGCAAGGGACGGCTACGACTGGCGCAACACAAAGTGCAGTGATGCCAAGGGCCGAAGTCCCTTGAATTGCCGTGTTGTTCACTGTTGCCTGCCGCATCAGTTCACGGAGGTCCTTCTTGATCTCACCCAAAATGTTCAAAGTGCCCTCAATTGCGCGGCATGTCCGCTCCAAGCTCTCGAACGCAGCTGTTTGAGGTGTCTCTCCTCGGGCCACTGCTTCCGCGACTCGCAGAAGCTCGTCCAACTCTTGATCATGCTTGTCTGCGAGGGCCACAAGTTGGTCCACCTCGCGAAAACACGAAACCACAAACTCCACAAAAAGAATCATCAAAAGGATACAAAAAACAATTCTACGTGGTCCTATGGATGCGGCTGGGCCATGGGCCAAGGTTCCGGTTTTGATTGGCAGTTTAAAGCACTTTATTATCTTTATTAAGGCAGTTGCATCCTTGGTTCTGTGCTTTTTTGATTTCCTGGCCTGACAAGGTGGGGTGTTTATCGAGCTTCGAGGGGACCTTCAAATGATTCCTTAGACAATACGGTGCCAAGATGTGCCAATGAAAACCTACAAGTATCAAATTTTAGAAGTAAAATGTTTCAATCATCTTGAATATACATCACCATGGATAGACAGGAGTGCCTATAGTGAGGCCTAGTCATGCTGCGCACTCCTCATCTTTGAACTTCTATGTATACACATATCCAACGAGGCCACCTATATACCAAGAAACCGCCTGTTCTTGTTAATCTTATTATTCAGAGTTAATTACCGGAAATTCCATGTGCATTGGATCATCAAAATTCAACCCACATGATCCAACATGGTGCATCCCCGCCTGTTTCTTAGTAGCTGACTTTGAATACAGCTGATAGATAGCACCGGCGACTTCCAATCCTCCAACAGCAAAGACGATGGAAGAACTGGTGATGCCCAAACGCCTGGCCCGTAAGGAGCAACGGTCGCTCTTTGGCACTTCTCGATAGTTCGAGCGGGTGACATAACCGGCAGCACGTAAATGAACATCTTTCAGGAGACCCAAACGTTTTCCAGCTTCTTTCACCGTTGAGCCGCCCCCAGCAACAGCTTTGTTGGCAGCTCGCGCTCCTTGCATGAGCGCTGAGCCAGCAGCTTTTTCAGGAGTTCTTTCGACACCGGGAAGATCTTGCGGAAGCAAGGCATAGAACTCATCGGTGGCTTTCTTCAGACCTTCTGTTTCATGAACCAACTTCTCCCGGAGACTTGCAAGGCCAGCGCTCAGTTTTTTCTCAGGGCTGCCTCCACAGTGCTTGGAGAGTTCACCTGCAGCATCACCTGCCAAACCTACCGCCGACCCAATGATCTTCAGATTGTGGTGTCCGGTGCTCGCCTTTTTGCAGGCTCCGGCCAAAGAAATGCCTGTGGCTCCCCAATATACCACCTGGGCAGCGCCTTTCACCGCACTCTTGGCCTTCTCTGCCCGCTGAAGCGCATAGAAACGCGGTGCCTCGTTGCGGATCTCCTGGTTGCGCTGCTTGGAAGACTTCACGCCCTCGGTGATCCAAGGTCCAAGGACTAAGGGAAGAAGAGCTGACAAAGTTGATCCCTTTCTGTTTACAGCTGGAAAGGAAAATAATGTATTCACAATGAATACACAAATATCCAATCCAATGACTGCAAGAAATGTCTAACAACTGCACAAGTAAGTTCAAACAAGTTGCTGCTCTGATTGTTGCCAACGCCTTTGCAACAGCAGGGTCCATGGCGCCGTTGAAACGGAACTGCTGGCCCTATTTCAAATCGCCAAGCTCCAATGTTAGCTTCTCTTTCAATTTTGCTGCGACATTGCGAGAAAGTTGGCACATCATTGTGCAACTCAGATGTTGAGATATGTTGAGCATGCCCGATGGTTGGGTTGTTGCTGTGCATGGCCGCTTTGAACAAGAGGCGCAGCGACAAGCTCATTGTCCTTCATTCTTGACTTCATGCGCTGTCAAATCAAAACCAGCCCGTGTCCACAAACAAGTTCCTCACCTAGATCTTGGCCTTTCTAGTCGACAATAATCATAGTCATCATAGCCACTGTTTCTGGCTATCCTTCCATATATACCTATCCCGAGGCACACGCATGTTAATCCGCACCGTGTGCTTGGGCCCCCACCGAGCCACGAACTTGCCACGCTCACCTATCATCACAGTCCCATGCAGGCAGGGCAAAGACAACCCAAGGACAGAACCAATTCGGAACATCTGACATCATTTGTTAGGCTCATGTATGTCATTTAAGCATGGCTCAAGTCTCAAGTGTTTTGAATCAAAGAATTCCCACCAACATGTCGTCAACACCATGACCTGTCCACTTGTTAAACAGCTGCCTGGGCACGTCATGTCTCAGCTCGTACACCATGGGATGTTCGCTAGCGCCACTTCCGATCGCGGATATAGAGTATATATAGATAGTTTATGATAGTATATATTATAATTTATAATATATATAGAATGACGTCCCCAATCTTGATGGGAATCCATGAGACATGCAAATTCTGAGATGATTCGCTAAGCTGCATTGATTCAGTGAAGCGTGAATTTGGTTCAGCGGGTCCGGGTCCAAGCCCTTATTGCCAGTCAAGTAGAGTCTTCGTTGTCAGTGATGCCATTGATAGTGCTAATTTTTGAGTTGCCCCAACACTTTGGCATTTCCACTTACATCACCATCTTCATACCTCTGAGTGCGTTGAACGTCAGCGTGTCTCTTGATTCGTAAATGCTGACGAAGAACAACAAGGTAATCACGTGTTCAAAGAGCTCAAAACTGTGAAATTGTGCATGCAAAACTTGTCACAGTATCACCTTGACATGCGGCAAGCAGTGCATTGTTATAGTGCACAAGCCAACTCTACTTGAACTCATCTTTTTGGACTGATCAACTGAACGAAAACCTCGATAAATGTCTAGCGCCAGTGACACCAATTCCAGGAATGTCAGGCTGCGCCATGGGCCTTGCAAGCCTTGGCCAATACGCAGCTTCACATTCCATCCATTCTTCGCGCTCATGCCTTCGGCATAGGCTTCCTCAGTGCGAAATTTCGTAAAATTTAAAATACCATAAAATACCATGGGTGCCCAGTGGGTCTATGTCATCCTATGTCAACCTCTACACTTTGTGAATTATAATCTCTCTCGCAAGCCTCTCAAGCCATGCAACGTCAACAGGTTCAGGTTAGCACACATGAAGCTGTAGACTTCCGGAAAGAAAAAGGTGTAGAGCAAACTTCCAAAAAATATGTCTGGCGGAAAAGCAACTGCCTAGTGATGAAGCCTCTAAGCTGCTGGCGCTTTGGCGATCATCTTGCGCTTCACATCGTTCGTGATGGTCTTTGCCTTGGTACGATTGTTTTCGTCCCGCATCACCACACCATGCGAGCCAAGCCAGGTCTAAGGGTCGTGCACGAGAAGCAAACTTCAACGTCATAAGTGTTTCCTGGACACGTCGGTGGAAGCTGGACAACCTGTCACAAAGCATAAAAATGAGGTTAGTGAACCACGAACAGCCATAAGTCAAAGCATCATTTCAAGCATTTCGCCCACTTACAATCCCATCCACCTGGGAGAACGACATAGACTAGAACGGACTCAAATCCCATTATACATCATTATACATCATTATACTATATCATACTATATCATGATCTATATCATGATCTATATCATGATCTATATCATGATCTATATATGATCTACATATGAAAAAAAAACATCCAGGACTTAGCCCTGACTTCCTCAAAGTTGGAGCTGGCAGGTGAGCAGTTCACAAACATCAGCGTCTTGGACGTTCCGCCCAAGGCATCGGACCTGGTCGGACGATGTGGTTTGATCTGGCCATGAAAAATAACTCAAAAATAATGGTGAATTACTGAAAACATGGTTAATACTACTTGTTAATTAGTGGTTAATATGGTATATGATGGTTAATAATGGTTAATTAGCGGTTAATTCGTGGTTAATAATGGTTAAAATCACTATACTGAAAGATTAAAAGAAGTTTGAAAGAACTACTGATGAAGTTGCGAGAGTTGAACTGAGAATCACACATCACCTGCGTCAACTTGTGGTTTTTGTAAGGCACATGTGGATTGCCTGTGCCGAAGCTGGAGCAGTCAGCACGAAATTAGTCACTTCCACAGTGCCATGCAGAAATGCAGAAAGAAATTACACCGGACTCAGAATGTAATGACTTTTCTTCCCTTATGATACCCTATATTCAGAATTATGTATGTGTAGTTTTACCCACAAAATACCCTCCGAATTCTGTGCTTCTTTCAGGGTCGTCCCTTTCAGCGCCTTTCACCAATGCCTCCATCACCTGATCCAAATGCCAGAAACAAACAACTCGCGAAGCTAAACACTGTCGATACATGTTGATACTTAGTACCCACCCTCTTCTCACACACCATGATAGATTCATGTTTCTGCGTCAAGTGGCATCGCCCAAGGCAGTCAAGGACCTAAGACTCACAGAAATCCAAGCTATAGAGTGAACGCCAACTGTTTCAATGACATCTCTGCCTTTTTGTGTCTGCAGTCCACATCAAAACCATTCAAACATCTCCGGAATCTGCTGGATGAGGCCGCAACTTGTTGATTTCAATGGCTTCCTTTTGTGCTTCCCCAGAGACCTTTGTGGCCGACCGGCATGAGCAACACTCCGTATGGAAGTCACATCAGAAAGCATCAGAATCAATTCCAAATAGTTTTGTGAAGATCTTTAGAAACAATTGTTTTCAACAAGGCAATAGGAATTATCTCTAGAATTTCTCTTGGTTGAAAGCATTCATTCAGTCCTATTGCTTTCCGCAAGAAGTTCTCTTAGCAAACCTCCAGATAGAACCGACAGGTTGTGAGATACACCGGGCGCCGCACGTCTGACTTCTTGAGTCGTTCTGATCCGGCCAAGTCGCACAACAGGATCCTGTCAGGATCTTTGGGTATGATGGGTATGTCAATGCGGGGGGAAACGATGGGAAACGCCATTCCATATGCTGGTGCATCATCATTTTCCCTTAGTTAAATATAACTAGCTGGAGATTATACCTGATTTTCAGATACACCTTTTTTTGAGGATTGGAATTCCATGGAATTCTGGAACCCCAGCAAACACATGCAAACAATGTTTTTTTTAAGCGCCAGCAATCACAAAGAGCCCAAAGTTGCCCATGCTCCTCCGCAGAATCTGCAGAAGGTCAACTCCGCCGGGTGTTCTTTCCGCTCAACTTCTGCTCCGTCTCTTTGTTGACGCCAACGACTCGAATAATCAGGATGAGGTGCGATCGAGAACCTGGAGCTTTACATCTGAAAGTCTGGCAATACATTGACACCTTCTTGAACAACATCTGCAAGTGAATCATAGCGAATCTGATATATATAATATATATATATATATATAATATTAATATTATATAATATATTATACGTATAATATATATATATACCTGTTCACGTAAGACATTTCCAAAGGCATTTTGTATCGAGAGTGGGAAAAGGGGCACCCACGACTTTGAGGGTTATGAGCCCAAGAGGTGCTGCTCTGCGCTAAGCCATGGAGAAAGCAGCTTCGGAACCCCCGAAATTCGATGGTGGTTGGGGAACCCTTTTTACTCCGAAAGGAATCAAAGGGAGATAGCTCTTAGGGCTTCCAGACCGTGGGGACTGCCCGAACAGTCGCCAGCGTCGGATGTGGCGCCGCTTCATGGTGGACAAGGTGCTGGTGTCGGCACTGGAAAAGGCCGTGGAGGACAAGCATCTGGGAAGCATGAGAGTGTCTATGAAACCCCACCCAGCAAGATGGATGTTCATGGAGGGGAAGGAGTTGTTCCAAAAAGGACGCAGGGTAGAATGCCGGATGAGGGTGATGCTACTATGGGGGCAACTGCACAAGGTGCTTCAGGGGTAGCTGATCCTCAAGATGTTGGTCTTCAAAGGGCTTTGGAGGTTGAGTTAGTCAATCATCTTCGAACCCAAAACTCACAGTTGATGGAAGAGTTGGATAGGATGAGGGCTTTGTTGACTCAAGCTGGAACTGGGTCCAATTCTTCGTGGTCAGAAGTCGGGGGAGCATCTGCATGTGCAGGGATTCCACCTGGTGTGACGGATGGTGGAGGGCAGCGGCGTGAGGGTTTTCACACACCCAGAAGTTCCCAGAAAGCTGAGATGGGGAAGCGGGATGCTAGATTCACTCCAAATGGAACAAGAATTCCAGACGGAACGCCCCCTGAAGCTGATGGGTCTGAGCCACGTCATGTTCCTCAACCACCACCTGAGAAACCCAATGTTCCTCCTCTTCCAAAGTCTTTCATGTCGGATGGCACCATGGAGAAGTTTTTGGATAGCTATGACAGGATGGAATCAGTTCCCAAAGTTTTGAAAGTTCAGCATGCATGGGAGCCCGCAACAGAGATGTCTCCGAGAGCAGCTAGAGCGTTTTGGTTAGAACAAGAAGTTGCTTCTTTGAAGGGTTCCATGGCTCGTTTGACTGAAGGGAATGGTTTCAAAAATAGCGAGTACTGGTCCAAGGGATTTCACCCACCTACTGGTCCACCGGTTGTTCTGGGGTCTCAGCAAGCCGTTGCGAGCGCTGGCATTGATGTTCAGCGACTTCAAGATCGGGCTGGCAGTTCTGGCATGGTGTACGGCGGAAGTGGTGAAACTGCGCTTCATGATCGGGCTTGCACTTTGAGCAATGGTCCCAAAGATTGCCAAGGTCAATTGCTTGGGGGATGTGGTGATCCGCGTCTTCAAGGTCGGGCTAGCGCTTTGAGCACTGGTCACACAGAATGCCAAGGTCACTTGCTTGGGGGAAGTGGTGCTGAACATCATCAAGCTCGGGCTTGCACTTTTGGCATTGATTCTCATAAAGAATGTCCTGGAGGCGATCTACATCCTCGAGCTCGGGCCTTGCATGGTGTGGGCACGGAACTTCTTGACTGTGGTGCTGGAGGCTTCAAAGACGTTCCTGGGCATGGTTTGGGGGGTGGAGGAGTCGGAGCTGGGACGGACCGGACATATGGCCCATGGACTGAGGGAAGTTCTGTCGCCAAATTGGAACTTCCGGATCTTCCAGAGGCATCCAGTCCATTGCAGTTTGGAGACTGGTTGCACCTTAGCACTCCGGTGATGAAGGATGTGTCTCAGGTGGCCGATTGGTGGTGGGAATCAACTTTGAGGGAGGCCAAGTGCTACTATGATCGATGGCGAAACAGCACGCCACTTCAGAGGATCCAGATCTGTCCAAGGTTGCCTGAGGACTTGAGTGAACGCCGATTTCAACGCACTGAGCAACGTGGGGTTCAAATGCTTTTGAAGGCCATACCAGCTGCAGAGCAACAGGAGCTGGTAACAGATCGGGCTTTGAGTTCGACAGCAATCCTCTACAAGCTCATGGTGCGATTTCAACCAGGGGGCGCTGGAGAAAAGCAGATCCTTTTGAAACAACTGACCAGTATGCCAAAGATGTCAACGATTCAAGAGGTTGCTGCAGCTATCAGAAGCTGGCGTCGTCACTTCGGCAGAGCTGAGGAGGTTCAAGCAGTACTACCAGATGGGATTCTGTTGCTGCAGGCCTTAGATGATCCCTTGCAAAAGATCGCGGCCATGGACCAACAGGCAGCTTTCAGGTTATCCCAGAGTAGGATGCAGCTCCAGCTGGATCAACAACCAACTCAACGGAACCTCTGGGCTTTTTCACAGTGCTTGCTGGCAGAGGCTGAAACGATAGCATTGCTTCAGACTTCCTCTACTTCGACTTCATCAACAACGCCTCTCAAGCTGAAGCAACTGGATGGTGATGTGAAATCTCCTGCAAGACCGGGCCTTGGTGATGCCAAACCGAAGTCCAGTCCAACAGTGGACAAGCCATGCCGCTACTTCATGTCTGACAAGGGCTGCAAGGCGGGAAAAAGTTGCAAATGGCAACATGACTGGGACAGCCTCAACGACAAGTCTGAGCGTTGCTTCATCTGTGGAAGCAAAGAGCATCGCAAGAATGACTGCAAACTGAAGCCGGCTATGGGCAAAAAGCCAGGTGAGCCTGGTGCAGGCTCAGGGGGAGGACGTGGTTTTGGAGGTTCTCCAGCATCAAGTTCTACCTCTACTGCAACTGGTGGCAAAGCCGGTGCGGCGGCGGTCAAAATGGCCAAAACTCCCACGGATGATGCTGCAATGACAACATCAACTGCTACAGAGGCAGGTGCCACAATTGCTCCACCTGAAGTGACAAGCTCCACTACCAATGAAAAGGATGGAGGTCGTGGGGGAGTGAACGATGGTGGCAACAAAGGTGAGAAAACAGCTGAACTTTTGCATGAAGCAACACAACTTTTGAAGTCGTTGCGAGTTCAGCCCAAGATCAACGTCATGCAACTGGCGGGATTGGAGCAGGCGGAGAATGATTGGGTGCTGATTGATTCAGGTGCCACCCATGCCCTACGTCCTGCACATGATCTACATGAATGGACCAATGCTGAAAGAACGGTGGTGCAACTTGCCAATGGTGAGACGGAGGCTCTTCGCCTGAAAAGGGGCACCAAGGTGTTGTTGGGACACCCAACACAAACGACTTCAAGAATTGTCCCCATGGGTGGTCTCACTGCACTTGACTTCACACTGCAGTGGTCTGGAGATCAATGTCAGCTGCGTGATGACGAGGGCAGAGAATTTGAAGTGCGAGTTGTTCAAGGCTGCCCTATGGTTTCTCTTGCAGATGGCCAAAGAATTTTGGAGTGGCTGGAGTGGTATCAAGTGCATCAACAACGGAAGCTGGCGATGGTGAGATCTCTGCTGGCTGATGACACCCAAGTGGATCGACAGCGTTTGGACCTGGAGCTGGCTTTGACCTACAAGTTGCGGCAGCTTTTTCCGCATCTTCCTGATGAAGTCATGATGAGAATAGCACCGCATCTGGAAATGGTCAAGACAGAGAACTTTGAGTCCAACTTGCCATGGAACAGGCACAAACGTCGACGATTACGTCAAGCCAAGCACGTGATCCTCCACTTGTTCTCTGGCCCAGATCACAACTACTGGGATCAAAGATGCGCCAATGCCAACACAGAGGTGCTTTGCATTGATACTACATGCTCTACGCCTGCCAACCTTCATGACCGAAACGTGTTTGGCTATTTGCTCACACTTTGTGCAAGTGGGCGAGTCAGGGCAATTTTGGGTGGTCCACCTTGCAGAACGGTGACAGCTCTGAGGTATCAAAATGATGGTGGTCCTGGAGTGCTGAGGACAGAAGAACACCCATATGGCCTCCCAACTTTGAGCCCTGCAGATGCCGAACTGGTGATCGCTGACTCAGTTTTGATGTTTCGTTTTTGGTCCCTGCTCATGGTCGCTGAGGAGATGCGTGAATAGACAGATCCTCCAACACAGTTTTTCATGGAGCAGCCTGAGGACCCAAAACGGTATCGCTCAGAAGAAGATGTGCGACAGCATGAATATTTTTCAGTGTTTCGCACTGCTGAGTGGAAGGCCTTGGCGGAGAAGTACAACTTGGTGCAGTACCATTTTGACCAACATCCGTTGGGGCATCCAAAAAGAAAACCCACCTGTCTGGCCACGAACGTGCAAGAAGTTCGGCATCTTGATGGTGTGCGTGGAGCCCCTAGCAATGAAGCTGATGCTGGAGCTCAATTCAGGGCCATGACAGTGGAACAAAGATGTGAAGTCTCAAGAACTTGGTCTCAATGGGCCCTTGGTTTGAAAAATGCGATTTCACTGGCCGTGAGCCAGCGGGTTCAGTGGCTTGACCGGCATCCTGATCAACCACAACAACCAGCGGTCAGGACCCTGGGCGCCGCAGCTCTCGAGTCATGGAAAACGCACTACCTCCACGACCACATGCCCTCCCGTAGAGATTGCCAACAATGTGTCAGAGCACAGGCTCGGGCACGCCCACATCGGCGAGTTCAACATCCTGAAGCGTTCACTTTGTCAGTGGACCTGAGCGGCAAGTTCACGCCGGGCATCAACCAGGAGCAGAAGCAGTGCAAATACCTGCTTGTGGGGGTCTACACCTTCCCCATCACCAGAGATGGTGTGCCACTCGCTTCTCCGGATGGTGTTGAACCTCAAGATCAACCACTTCCTGGCTTGGATGAGTTCTCAGTGGATGATGAAGCTGAAGATGAGCCAGATCTACTGCAAGAGAAAGAAGATGGCAATGTGGAGGTGGAGGGTCAGAGCGAAAATGAGGACCAAAAGGCCGAGAAAACGGCACATGGCTGCTTGTTGGCATGGCAGAAACTTGTGGAGGAATCCATGAATGTGACGGTGAAGAACATCACTTTTGTGGAGACCATTGAAAGCCGTCACTCCCAACATGTTCTGCCCGCCGTCGCCAAGATCTACAGTCGCCTGCGACAGCTTGGCCTTCCAGTGATGAGGCTGCACTCAGACAGAGCCAGAGAATTTCTTGCAGCTCCTTTGCGAAGGTGGGCGCAGCATAGAGACATTGTCCTCACAAAGACGGCAGGTGATGACTACAAAGCCAACGGCCGCTGCGAAGCAGAACTTGGAGTCACCAAGCGAGCAATCCGCACGGTGATATCTGCTGGCAAGTTCAACATCAACCTGTGGCCGCTTGTAGCAAGGCATGTTGGAGAACGTCGTCTCCGTGCTCAATTGCGTGGCTGTGGCTATCCTGTTGGTGACTTGCTGAAGTTTGGAACTCAGGCATACGCTCTTCGGAAGTGGTGGCAAGACAACCATGAAGAGTGGGCCGACACCAGACAGCCAGTCTTGGTGCTTGGACCAGATGCCTGCAGCACGTTGACATCAACAAACTACTTTGTGCAGTCCATTGACACGGGTAAGTACTTCTTCACGGCCGATGTCATCACCCCTGACTTTGAGGCGACGGAGGCAGCAGTTCTTGGGCAAAATGCTGAACAACCAGCTCATGACGGTGCTGCTCCGCGACCAATCGGGGCTGACAATGCCATCTACTTGCCTGAAAGAGATGAAGCTTCTCGCCCTGCTGGCATGGATCTTCAACCAGCAAGACGACTGCGAGGCAAAACAAAGCCTGCTATGTTGCATCGATTGATGCGGGCACCAATCGAGGGGGAGGATGATCCTTTTGAACATCTTGGCCGTGTGAATGCACCATCATGGGAACGAGACAGCGATGATAGCTGGACCTTGGAAACAATTCCATCACCAGACTCATCTCTTGACGGATCTGGAGGTGGGGAGGAGGAGGAGGCGCCTAATAGTCAGTGCGGTGGCTCATGCCTGACAGCCTCACAGGAATATGAAAGCTTCCTACAAAAGGTGCAACACAACTTGCACATGTTGGTGATGGATGAGATGGCCCACATTGATGGCACGGCTGATGAACAGGCGTGGTGCATGCCAGTCTTGAAAGAGATGCTGGTGCAAAAAGCGGAGGTTGAAGAGGAGCTGATCATGATCAACAGAGGAAAAAAGGAAGTTCTGGCAGGTGAAAATGAGTTTTTGGTGACCAGAACGGTATCCAACAAAGAAGTTTGGGAGAACATCAAAAGCTGGGAGCCTTCAGTGAGAGCGGAATATGAGCAGCTGGTGAACCAGAAGCAGACAGTGACGCAGATGACGAAGTCTCAGCTGCGACAACTTGCTCAAGAAAAGCAACTCCCAATTGAGCTTCTCCCAGCCAAAATGGTTCACACTCGAAAGGCCAACACCGGCGCATATAGATCTCGAGCTGTTGTATGTGGCAACTATCAGGAAGTTGGCACAGGAGATCGATACGCTGGAGGTGCCGATGGATGTCAAGTCAGGGCCTTGATCAGAACCGCGGCTTTGCGGGGATGGTGCCTGGCAGGCAGTGACATCAGGGTAGCGTTTTTGAACGCTCCAAAGCGTGACACAACAAAGATCACGGCAATGGAGGTACCGACCATCTTCAAACACCTTGGTTTGGCTGACGCAGAAGATGTGTGGATCATTGAAAAAGCCCTTTATGGGCTGGTGTCCTCGCCAAGAGACTGGGGCATCCATCGAGATGAGGTGTTGCCTACTTTGCGCTGGCACCGGAAGATTGGAGATGTGGTTCTCGAAGGGCGATTTGTCCACTCAAAGGATGAGAACCTATGGCGTCTGGTGGAGGTCAACAAGGAGACAGGCACTGAGAACTGGGCAGGTTTGATGTCAGTGTATGTTGATGACATTTTGGTGTCTGGGGAACCACAAACGGTGAAGTTGGCCATGGAAGCGATCCAAACCACATGGGCACTATCGGAGGTGGAATGGGCTTCTGACAAGCCTCTGCGCTACTGTGGTTTTGAGATCAGCATGGGTGCCGCTGGAGATGGATTCTATGTGTCCCAAGGTATGTATGAACAAGAACTGATGACAAGATGGGACATCAAGGAATCACTGCAGTATCCTGCTTTCAAGGTCACGGAGGAGGATGAGCACTTTGTGGGGGAGATCGACCCAATCGATGTGCGAACAGCCCAGATGATGACAGGAGCACTCCTATGGCTCTCGACCAGAACCAGACCCGATTTGGTTTTTGGAGTTTCAGCGATGAGCAGGCTGACAACAAAGAACCCCAAGAAAGCGGTGGAGATTGGGTATGTCCTGCTCAAATATCTTCATGGAAATCCTGGTGGAATGCACTATCCACAAGCGATTCCTGGAGGTGATTGGGGTCGGCGAGACCAACTGAAGGCAAGACGGCATCAGAAGATGCTGGAAGTTTTTTCAGATATCTCCTATGCTGCAGGCGCTGACCACAAAAGCATCCAAGGCTTGGTGGTGTACTATGCGGGAGTTCCCATAGCATGGCAGTGTGGAGTTCAACCTTTTGTGGCGCACCCAACTGCAGAGGCTGAGCTCATCGCATATTGCGAGTCTTTGGTGGTTGGAAGGGCAACAGAAGCGCTTTTGGCAGTCATCTGGCAACAGTGGGATTTTGAAAAGGTCATCTATGGTGACAATGCTGCAGCAATCAATTTGGCTCATGGTGTCACGACGGCATCCTGGCGCACACGCCACCTCAGAATCCGAGCCAGTGTGCTGAAGGAGTCCTTGGATGAGTCAAATCACAGGATTGGAGGAGGATGGAAACTTTTGCATCTCAAGGGCACCGAGCTAGTTGCTGATGGATGCACCAAACCTCTTCAAGGCCAAGCTTTCACGCAGTTTGTAGATGATCTTGGTCTGCGAAGAACAAGAAGAGACAATCGATCTGTTCCTGAAGACAGACCTACTGCCGGTGGTGAACACCATGGTGCTGCAATGCGGGCGCTGATGGTAGGCGGCATGTTGCTCTCTGCGGCTGAAGCCTATGAAGAAGAACCAGAAGCTGATGGCGATTTCACCTGGGTCTGGGTGACAGGAGCCGTTCTTATGGCTATGGGCGCAATCTATGCTGGGCAGCTGCTTCATAGCGCATCGAAGTTTTGCCTGCGACGATTGCGGTTGGCTGAGGGCGGTGAAGGTCTTAGACTGGACGCGATGGTGAGCGAAGCCGAATCTTCTGGTGAAGAAGCTGCGCTGATGACGTCTGATGATGAAGATGGAGAGCCATCGACTTCAAAGAGGCGCGGGAAGGGCGTTTCAACATCCAGGAAGAGCGTGCGACAGTCGGGCTCAAGCAGTGCAGTTCGCACTACATCCATGAGTTTGACATCACGCTCGGGCTTGGGGCACCAGGATGGAAGCGGATCTTCTTCGTCTTTGAGGAGGAGAACACAATCGGGCTCTGGCAGTGCAGCTCGCACTACATCTCAAAGAATGACGGCACAGTCGGGCTTGGATGGTGCTATGAGCACTACATCACAAAGAATGACGGCACAGTCGGGCTTGCAGGGTGCTATGAGCACTACAACTCAAAGTTTGACCTCGCAGTCGGGTCTTAGTGATGGTGAAGTGTCAAAGCGATCTCATGAAGCTGGGCGTGGGTCTTTGCCTTTGCCTTTGACGGGACGATCGGGCTTTTGCAGCGCTTCTGGGAGAGCTTCATCATTGGATCCGATGCCACGATCGGGCTTACAACTGGCAGCAGCGGGCGAACCTGCTGAGATGTCAGCATGCGCTGCGGATGATGGTAGCGTAGGTAGAGCTGTGGAAGAGAGACGGCCACATGGGCTGCAGATTTCCAATCCGTGGAACCTCTTCCAGCATAGCCATAAAAATAAAGGGCTGACTTCTACCCAATTGTCCAAGATGTATAAAGACGGGAAGTCGCCAGGTGCAAAGATGCCTTGAGCCCTGAAATTTTTCCCCATCAATTTGTCTGGCGACAAAGGGGGAGCCTGTTCACGTAAGACATTTCCAAAGGCATTTTGTATCGAGAGTGGGAAAAGGGGCACCCACGACTTTGAGTATATATATTATAATTCTCTAGTGTTGTCCATATCTCAAACCAATCCTCGCATTTCAGCCACATCTGCATTGGTTTCTGTGGCCCCAACTCTCGCTGTTCATCTTGGTGGCACCTCACAGTTTCGCAACGCTTCCGCCCTTTCCGCATGGCGGCCAGGTCTAGGAGCCGGACAGACGGTGCGCATCTGATTTCCACGCCTCAGGGATACCCATAAAGTCCTCAAGTTCTGCATACTGATGTATAGTAAACATATGTAGAAGAACCACCTTTGATGAGTTTAATGATTCACTTCTTGTTACATAATATCAATTAATATCATATATGGAATAAAGCGGTACCTTGGTTCATATTTCCTCTCTGCACAACTCTAAGCTGCGGACTCGAGAAGATCGGACAAGGCCTTGGCAGGATGCTTGATGGCATCATGGTGAACTAGTTTCACATGTTGGGGCTCCAAATTCCAACGCCTTTGCACATATGGAAACAAATACAGCTCAATGCACATGGGACTATTGAACTTTCTTGATTGGAATCTATGTTTACCAATTGATTTCAATGAACATATCCATCTGAATCCAGCCAATTTCCCCACACTTTTGCAGGATATGTTCTGCAAATACCCGCCTGCGCAGTCTTGCACTCCTCCTCGTACAAGTGCTCGATTTGCACGGCTCCGTTCTGTGCAGTGCGTCATGGATTCTTGGCCCATACTAGGGCAATGAGGAAGATTATTGGGATTATGATGATTGGATATGATTGGTGTTGATTAACCATGATTGACCACTGGAGTTGTGCATAACCTAAGTTTGGACAAACCGAATGTGGTAAAAACATCCCCAACTCCCCTGGTGTTTATGCCATTGGGCTAACAATCCATCCCAATAACCGACCATGACTGGGGTAATTTTCATCCGAAAATAGGGTTATACGTTATACACCCAATAATGAAGTTCAATTGGGATGGTTCATGGTTACCATCCAGTAAAATAACATAGCTATGGAATGGAAATGGTCCATTTATAGGTGATTTGCTTGATTGAGAATGGCGACTTCCATAGCTATGTTAGTTTTCCAGTAGGTTTTCTACACAAATCTGACTGAACCACTTCCCCATGCGCTCCTTATCCAGGCGGACATTGAGCTTTTGGTCCACAGCAGCGGTCTGGGCCGGCACCGCTCAGCAATGGATTGGTTGAAGGGAAAATCAATACGAAACCATTACCCCCCAAATCAACGGCCTTTATGGTACGTATAGTAATTTGCCAATTCTGTAACCCAACTCAAATCCAGTTGGGTGTCCAACTCAAATACTGAAATCAGTTTTTGTGAGTCATGCAACGATGAGAAATGAAGAAGGAATCGAAAAAAACACTGACACGCGTGGATATCGCATCGAAAGGTCCATGATCTAGACCGCTGAGAATAGGGCTTCGGGTCGCTGACTCTTCCGTTTCCTGAAATGTCATCACATTTGGCTTATTTTCAGGGTCGCTTCTGGATCACTATGGCTGGGTTGAATTTGGATTTCATTGGATGTCCCAAAATCAGAAAAAATCAATCCAAAAAACGAGCAACTACCGGAATAATTAGCCCACATCACGATTCACTTTGTTGGTCACATTCTGATTTCTTGCTGGTCTTGGTTTCATGCAATGATCAAGACACTCAAGCTTTGGCCAAGTATCGGAGACGCACCACCGCTGTTCTTCTGCGTCAAGAGATCGACCAACCTAAGGGTCGCCGCTGCTTCCAATCTCAGAGATCCAAATCTGCCCTTCAACCTACTTGAAACTTGAGATGTTCGCAGAATGCTATGCAAAGGTTAAAAGCAACTATCGGACGGTCTGCGTTGATTTGTGTGAAAGTAGAACAAATCAAACACATCCAGTTCATAATCAAACAACACCAAATCTATCAAACTAACCAAACAACGGTAACACCAAATTTCATTCAAACCCTTGCATGAACCCCTTGCCCTGTGTTCTCGCAACTTGGCCTTAAGCCAAGCAACTCATTTCTGTAGAGCTCCATCATTGACGCCATGACCTGTCAAGATCTGTCAAGCAGGTCATCCTATTGATGTCAGATTCTCATAGACATCCAAGATGTCTAGTGGTTCAAACGTGCCGGTTTGACTGTGAATTGCACCCGATCCTCATCTTTCTTGATCAACCTGTACCTGTCACATTGTCGGGCTCTTTTGGGATCATATACTGGAAATCCAGCTGGGAATCTGGATACAACGAAATTAACAGGCACTTAAAGCTCCAGAATTCGCAAGTGTACTTGCTGGTTTATACGATTTTATACCAGCAAACATCATTAAAAAAGTTATTTTCCCCATGTAATAACATGTTATTATCCCCATGGGTTTATCATAACATCATAACATGTCTTATCCCCATGACAGTCACAACGAAGTCAGGCAACTTCCAAGGCTCACAGTTCATCTATGGTTCGGGGGGCGGTGCCCTTCATGTCACCAGGGCCACCTGGTTGCGGAGCAACCGTTGAACATGGCAACCATCATGAGATTTATAGAAATTGACCCAAGCAATAAGACTCATTTGCATAATTTAGATCGTTCTGTGATGTTTATTGATGTTTATTTATGTTCTATGAGTCCTATGAGTTGAGATTTCAAGAATATTCTTGAATCTTGAATACCTGGTTGAATATCTGATAAATATCTGATATCATAATGAATAACAGTCATCATGATATTGACTGTTGGAATCAGCTGAGCTGATGGCCATACATGGTGAAAGTCCTTGGCGATGAACCGACGGCCGTCCCGTCCCCAAAGCCGAACCCCAACGAATTGCCGTGCGCTCTACGAGCGCGCTGAGTGCCCTGCTTTCCGGCACCTGTCTGGCCATAGGCAAACATCGTGACCTCCAGGAAAAATATGATGTGATCATATGTGATCTATGGAAATGGTGAAGTATAGTGTTGCTGCAACTTCCGGTGGAGAGTGGCTTGGTATGGCTTTGGTGTTGTCCACCAAGGCAAAACGACTGTGTTCACTGTGTTCACCGGTTGAGTGAATCCGCCGAGGGCCCCACGTTGTATCCATCCAGTGCAGATTGCACCAGATCACGACAGGTATCAAAGACTTCTGCCTGGATCCAGCAATGGAACACATCCAGCAGGGATTGGAAGATTTTGCCACCCTGTACTGGTGAAATGATGGATTTTCTTCATGATCCCTCAATTCAAGGACGTCATCTGTGAGTTGGGATAAGCACGAAGAGTTCAGAGGATATTGAGGGAAACCGATACTCTTTCACGTGGGGTCCATAATATGGGGTTCATTGACTCCTTGCCTGCGTGCCGGGTTTGAAAACGGCATCGAAGTTGAACTGCTCCGCGTCGTTGGCGATGGTTCCGACTGAGCATCATCCAGATTGATCTCAACTCCCAGAAGTCGGGATTATCTTCCCAGGTTTGAATGGCTTGAATGAACATAGCTGACATAGCACATGTCAGCACCAATTCATCTAAGAAAAATCACCATTTCCGGATTGCTTGCACATATCTTTAATTACACAGCGTGGAATCATCTATGCCATCCCTCTCTGCACCGAGATCCACTCAGTTTGGCACCGCTCGGCTTTTGCACGGTCACCGTCATGGTGTCAACTTGCTGGGAGATCTGCAGCAACACACGGCATCTTCAGATGTTGACCCAGTGGACACGGAATGATTGCGGGATGTTGTCTCATTCTGATCTTTTCTTGAGCTCTGAACATTCACGATTGAACAACTAGAGCTAATGATGAACAATGTGAAGTGACAGGCTTCTTGTGTTTCCAGGGAATGCCAAACATGACACGCACTTATAGGCGCAAAATCGCGACCCTGAAATGCACCATTTCATAATGAATCTTAGTTAACCCAGTCTGGGTATCCGCAGTTTTCAGGAGCCGCCCCACTGCCCCACTATCGCTACCATCATTCTGTTTTTTTCTGATTTGCCCAAATTTGGCAGATTCGATTGCTTCCATGGTTCATGTGTTTTTGCTGCTCAACTGCCCATGTCTAGCGGTTCTACTGAGGGCTTGGCATCTGTGTCCTTCAGATCCTTCTCTCTCCTGTCGGTCGGAAGAGCTCACCCTCTGATAGGCTTCCAAAGTACAGGGAAGGTAAATTGGGCACATATAAAGGTAACATAGCTATTTTCCCCTGTTTCTGGTTATCGTTGACCTGTAATGGGTTGGAGCAAAAGATTGAAAACCAACAAATATGTCCAGAACCATCCAAAACCTGTAGCCTCGGTACACCACAATCCTTCAGTAACAAATGTCCCTAACCATCACCGGTTCACCATCACCAAGACCCAATTTTTGCCGCACTTCGAAAGTTCAGCCAGAGGTACCCGCTCAATGGTCGCACTCGGCAGAAGACGCGGATGGATCCCTTCAGATCTTCCACCATGTTGTGAAGCCTCACCGCCCAGGGCTGGTTGAAACTGCCAAAAATGCAGTTCTTGGGGGGGTTCATCCCAGATAACCTTTTATAGGACCTTTTGCACAGAAAAATGTCAAAGAATGTCAAAGAAAATCCGATGAAATACTGGCCGCATTTCAGTTGGGTGAAACTCTATTTTTTTCCTCATTTTCCCAAGTCTAGTTGGGTAAACCCCATCATTTTTATGGGAGTTACAACTCGCCCACACCTCCTTCGGAAGGCATCCGCTTCGCGGAGGGCCATGGAGGGCACTGAGGATGCCTCCAACGGCATGGCATCTGGTGGATTGCCCCCAGCAGAGCTCAACAGTTCCCCCGCCTTTGCCGCCAGAAGTGCATTACCGAGTTTCTCTTTTGCAGTCTCCACACTTTCTATACCTGCCACGTGCACTGCCTGTTTTTGGGTTATTATCCTGACCAAACCGAATGGCTGGTTGTAGCTGATGATTTTTTTCGCACTAAACCATCCCACCAACGGGATGTAGCGAGATCTCACACTGGGTGATTCTGGTATACTAACCTTACTAAACTGATACTAAACCACCAATCCCATATTTTTTCCAGCCTTTAGATTGGTGGTTTTAGTAAGTTTCGAGAACCCAATGACACCTGAGATTCCTCCAATCACGAGATCCACAGGTCAGCCGTACTGGTCTTATCGACTTCCTTCACCTCTGCCAGCACCTTGGCCACCTGCCAGCTGCTCCCTGTTGGTCCAATGTGTTTTTTCTGGCACCACAAAAATAGAAAAGTCGAATGAAAAAACATAAATTGGCATATGAGAAATCACTATATATAGTGGTACTTCTTATTTTTCCGATGTTGTTCCATCTTTTTGCGATGACTATTGTATGCTCCAACTTTTTGGCATGGAAACCGGCGATGCAACGTATCCAGGTATATCATGGTATATCACTATCCCGTGACATATCATATGTTATGGGATATAGTTACTCTGTTATTCCCAGCAACTATGTGATAATGCTGTGAGATATTTTTGATATCTATGCCATCAACTATAGGGGATATTCTCCCCAGCATCCACTATCCGAACTATCCCATTGTGTGATATGGTATCAACGATCTCCTATGTATGTATATATATACACCCTTGAAATCCAATGTCGATGTTTAACTTAGTCTCTCACGAATGTTAGTGTTTAACTTAGCATTTCCGTAAATGCAATGTTTACCCATGATAGCTTCTAAGACTGGGGCAACAGGTTTCCAAACGCCTTTTTCTCTATTGCCTTCGCCTTTTGATGCCAGGCAAACGCCAGCGTAAGGTTTTCATACGCACTCTGGCCAATCGCATGATTCCATTGTGTCGTCCCATGTTCTTTTTCGTAGGAGCTCGCTTGGCCCATCCTAGTCAGGGACATGGTAACAGGTACCCCATCTAAAAAATGGTCGATAAGTTTTCAGCCACGTAACTCAACCCTCATCCAGGGGCTAGCTTATTTTCATCCCTTTAGTTTGGGAACACAGGTCCTTTGAGGACTGCCATGTGATCTTCATCACAAAATGTGTGAAGCATTCTCGGATTCACTCCTAGCTTGCATGTGGGTTGCAGGGATCAAGAGTCCTATTCTTGGATGCTCAGCTCAAGGGTTGGGCTGTAGGGTAAAGAAAAATTGATGAATTCCAAATCAAGCAGCGTAAAATTCTGACGTACTCAAAAAGCACGTGAGAAAATGCCTCGGTCAAAAGTGCTTAGTTTTTCTTTTTAGAATCAGACCTTTTGTAGGGTAACTACACCCTAAAACACCTACTCTAGTGAGGAAATAAACTGGAAATTGCTGGCAGCAGAAGTGCCAAGTGACATGCCACTTTGGGATCATCACCCAGCTCAAGCGGTTGGTCCTGCAGCTGACTTTGGAACTGTTTTGAACCCATGGTGTTTCAGAAGCCCTGAATCATTTTGCTAATTTTCTAGATCAGGCTTCATGCCTCCTGATTTTTAGATTTAGAAGATTACCACCGACATTTGTGAGATACTAAGCTAAACATCGACACTGGATTTCAAGGGTTTAAAATATCATATACTAGTTCCCATTCCAGTTTTGGGGTTCAAGATTCCAGCTTTGGGGTTCAAGATTCCAGCTTTGGGGTCCTGATGGAGACAATGTTCAATCGACGATAAGCATCCAAGAAAGTTCGGCCAGCAGTTTCAATGGCAGTAGATTGTGCAGGTGACCTAGGTACAACCATCATCAGACAGATCGGATCAAAGGCTACTGTGTATTTATTTAACTTGTTGGGAAGTTCAGACTTACAAATGTTTAACCCTCAATCAACTGCCTCCTGCGCACATGGCTGACTTCAAGCCGAGAAGCAAGAACCTGAAGGCGCGCTCGGTCAGTCCGAAATAACGGCATACTCCTCTCCTCAGGTAGTTATGGGGCACTTGTGGTTTTGGGAGGCTTCTACTCAAGAAGCCCAGATAATATCAATCGGCCAGTGCTTTTTGAAATTCACTAGACGATTGGCTATGAAAAGCTTCCCAAGTCCCAAAAATAAACATGTTGATCATAAGCAACCTCCTGGTTTCATAGCGATTTCGCATAGATCAGCGCGGTCATCAGGAACCATGCCAACAACTGGATTTGATTGGATGTCACACAATTTAAAGAGCAGCCATTCAGCGATAACTCGCGCATTGTACCCCTTTGCGTTCAAGCAAAAGCCGTATTCATCCCGAACTAGCATTCGAAATTTGAATCTTTTCTGGCTGCATGAAACCCGATGGCGCTTGCGCCATCGGGTAAAGTCATCAAAGGCGTTGTTTAAAGCTGTTTTCCAGGCAGCAGGGTCGCTGGAAGAAACATCAACTGCACCAAAGATTTGCATTTGTAGCAGCATTCCCCTGAGCTCGTGAGGAGAGAATGGGAAATGGCAACCATAGGCAACTAAGCAGGGCCTAAGAGAATACAATAAAATAGTTCAACATGCAATGCTTGCTTGATAAAACCAAGCTTCAGGACAGAACCATTGGCAACCGCTACTAGACCCAAATTGAGGATATGTAGGGTGCAATGTTTGCACATTGACACACTGAAGAAAAGCAGGTCGATCAATGGACCTAGGACGTTCCAAAACAAAAAAACAAACAACTTGTGGTAAATGCACCTTTTTAGGTCAAAGCCCCAAAACGAAACAACCTAATTGAAGCTTAAAAACAATGTGGCGCAGAAAGCTGGTCACGGATGAACTCAGCAGTGGACCGCATTCTGGTCTCCCAACCTCCATGACAATCATTCCAGGTGTAATTTGTGGCCGCTGGTTTTGCAGTGGCTTCGCAGCGAAAGCATATATCGTTTCTAACCCAGTAGGCTTTGTGTTTGAAGATATAGCGAAACCATGCTTGATCACCACGAAGTTCGGTGGGGATAAACCGCCGTCCAGCCACACCATCCCGTGTAGCAATGTTCAGGGACTCCATGATGACTTGAAGAACAGGATAGATTGTCTCTTCAACTGACCAGACCCTCTCTGATTCGATGCTCCATAGCAACCATCGAGACAACCGAGTTGCCCTTGGGCGAAACAGTGGTATGTTCAAAGTTATCCCAATGACTTTGTTTGTGGGGTTGTTGATGATCCCTATGGCTGCCTCATCACCATGTAGCCCTAAAGGCCACACACATCCATTCGCCAGTGAGCGAAACTCTTTGGTTTGCACAGCTATTTCATCACCCATTTCTTCCAGGTGGTCCCAGTATTCATGAACCAGTTTGTCACTGATTTTCAAATCACATTCACGTAGCAAATACTCCAGAACCTTGCATGGTAGCTGAACAGGGACAGTTGTCTGGGTAGATATATCGTCTGGCATCTTTATAGCGACTTCCACCTGCGACGGATCCTGAATAGATGGCTTTTGGCACTGGGAAAGCTATATGGCATGGACCCCATTAATATATAACAATTTTTAACCCCCAAATCAAAGTACCAGAACCCCGAAATCAAAGTACTTCACTTCGGTTTGACACGTGTCCAATGGCAAAGTTGTTGCACGGTAGAAATCCCGACTCTCATTGCCGGAGGCATAGTGAGCAAGTTTGGCAGTCCACTGCCCAGTGTTTCCAGCGGCTTCCTTGTGGGATGTGGGATGGTGGACTGGCTGAGGAAAACTTATTACGGGATTCCTTGTCAAGGGTAGCCAAATTTCAAATCAATTAATTAAATCAAGTTCGATAGATTGGGCCCAAACGGTTCTCCACCAAGCATCAGCATATGTAGCTCTGGCAGAACTCACTGCTCCACGAGCACTTCCCACCTTCAACAGAGAGAGAAAGGGAGAGACAGAGAGAGAGAGAGAGAGGGAATTAACGTTGAAAAGACATAGATGGTTTCATGACCCCTTGCCATCCCTTATCACTAATTCAAGATTAAAAATCGATCTTATAAAAGAAATATGGCTTGCAGCCCCAGATCAGCCACAAACATGCAACCAAGGGGCACATGACGCAATCTTTTCTGCAAGGTCCTGCTCCAAAGGGCCTTCACCATTAGCGGCATCACCTGCGTGGGCCAACCACCCAGGACTGAAATTATGGTGTGGTGTGGATCGGCATGGCTTTGCATGGGATTTGTTTTCTCACTGCTAAGACGTCACGTAGTCAAGACTACAGATACCGGAGCCACCCAACCGGATTTGAGGGAGTCAAAATATGTCAAAATTAGATTTGAAGAACATGAACATGTTGCCAATGAACATGAATGTTTGTTGGAGTAAAAAGTTTACATGGTCCAGAAATTTTGTATCATACTTCCCTCACCTCACACAGTGGCTCGCTCCCCCCCAAAGAAACTGTGCATTGAAAAGGTGGCTTGTATGTCACCATTATTACCCTGGCCAGGTCTAGAAATTAACTTCTAGAAAGCACATATCTTGAAGTCAAAACCTTGGAACAGTTTTGGGCCATCTGGGTTCTATGCCACCTTAGATATATCAAAGCTCTGAGCGGGACCAAGACGCGGTAGATCCCTCAAGCCTTTTTGGCTTTCTTGCCCTTGAGCGGCTCACAAGCAGTCTCCAAACCTCGGCGTGCCTCGCAGCACTCGTCAACCATAGCCTGCGTCACCTGGCAAAGCGGTTGGGTCTGAACCTAGTTTGCATAGGGCCCCTTCCCCAAAAGAGAACAATAGTATATCATGCACACCCCCTTTCAAGTTGATGAAAATATCCACTTTCCTAATGTTCGAAAAACCAGTAGCCACATGTGCACAGATACCAAACTGACCCCTAAAATACTGTTGAATATATATTATGTCGACATCGCAAGACTGCCTTGTCCTCGTCGATGGCTTTCTGAAGAGCATTGCGCTTCACCTCCATGCTGACTGTGGTGTTGCTGTGTTTTGGCAGACTAGCTCATGTAGTAACACCCGAAATCATTGTTTTCACTAGCTGTTGTGTCATCAGGTTTTTACCTTTTATATTGGTTTCATTTCGCACCCCTAGAAAAAAAACAAGCCTCCAGTAAATCCTTCTTCTCGTCACAGTCCTGTCGGATCGACGCGGCGTACTTCTCACTCCTGAGTTTGGGTCAAAATTTGGATCGACTTTTCTGATCTAAGTTGGGCTGTTTTTGCTTGTATTTGATTTTTTTGGTAGGCGCTGAGCAAAGCACATGTTGGACAGGTTGGGTAAAAGGCTAATTGCCCACTTCAACTTGCCGCTGGCGTCAGAAATTGCCTGCCACAAAAATGTTGCACTATCAGATGATAAGGTGATGAGGTGTGTAGAAATTAGTTGGTATCCCAACTGTGCCTTCTTTGCATCCTTTGCCAGCTTCTTCTCTGCTTCTTTGTTGGTGTCTTCCTCCTCCACTTTCACAGGCACTTGCTTCTCAGTCTTCTTTGTCTTCTTTTCTTTAGGCTCCTCCTCCCAAAGTTAAACAACCCAAGGCCCAATCAATGCAGTCATGGGAAAACCTGTCCTTCTTGGACTTCTTCTCTTTGTCCTTCTTGATCGTCTTTTTGGCAAGCTTTCCAGGCTTCTTAGACTTTGTGGACTTCTCCTTAGTTTCTTTCTTTTTCTTTCCCTTGGACTTTGACGAGCTCGAAGATGATGAGGAAGAGGAGCTTGCATCAAGGCAGGAAAACAACCTGTCGATCGATTCCTCGTGCTCTTCCTCCTCAGCTTCATCAACGAGAGTCAGAAATTGCCGAAGATCCTGCGCAAGGGCAGTGAATGTTTGCCACTAGGTAAAGTAGCATAAAAATCCTTGTGTGAGTCTGATCATCTATTTGCATCATGTCAGGATATGGTCGAATCATATCTCATGATCATCATATATAGCCTCGAAATCAAGACCCACTAATAGATCTAGAACTTATGTTAGTCCTCGTTGTCTGGAAGCTCTGGATGAGCCCTGACTTCTTTGGCCTTGAGTTCCTTGTCAAGAAGCTTTCGGTTTCGGATTTGCTCTGCCAAATCCTCTCCGAACCTTGCATTCATCTCGGTGGCTGTAAGCCATCGGCGGACGCCACGCTTTTTGGTGGAATGTCGTTCCCGAATTTTCATCAGAAACTTGCTTTCCGTCCAATTGCCCTCACCGCATGATGCCCAAGCATCATAGAGTACTGAGTTCAGAGACTTACCTAGGTGGGCCAAGGGTTGAAACTAAGATAAACAATGGAACCCATCTAGGCTTAATAAATATGCAATGTTGTGGTTTGGGGACCAAATCTATCCAAACAGAAAAGGGATATCAGTGATATCAGATTGACCAATTTTACCCATGTGGCTGACGCAGGATCCAGAAAGCCACCATTTGTTGATCCTGGAGGAAAACCAGAGGCTGGGAAATCTGGGAAATCTGGGAAACTCCATTGCTAGCTTTTAAAAATCTTGATCGAAGTACTGTTCAGCTGAAATTTGATCAAAGGGACTCCCGTGGGCTTCCCTGCCCATTTTTCTCAGCTCGATCGGGGTGCTCGGATCTGGGCAGTCATGGACCGGAACAATCTAAAGGTCATTGGACTCCAAAAAGTAATCAAAGACGTTTTCCTTAATTGATGATACCGTTTAAGTTTTGAATGCAAAGATATGCAAAGCTGGTTTTTCTTTGGGGATCAGACTCCGGATGTTGCGGAAGTATCTCATGTACCTTGCATGGGCGTCAAGGCGTTTCCTCTCTCTTTCCTCGTCCTCATGGGTCAACGGTTCCCCCTGTGTCCCTTCCTCCTTTGTAGCCTCTGTCCTGGTCTGGGAATCCTCCGGTGTATTATCCTGTCTCCTCTCTGCCACTGCCAGCTCCTCACGGGCCTGCTTGGCTTTTTTCTTCAGTTCCTCCAGTTCTTTTGCCTTCTTTGCCAACTCCTCATCTAGCTTTCGTGTCTCCTCTGCTTTCTTGAGATCTTCTTCTTTCTTTTTCTTTGCCAACTCCTCAATCTGCCGGGTCTCCTCTGCCTTCTTGAGATCTTCTTCAGCCTTTTTCTTTGCCAACTCCTCCATCTGCCGGGTCTCCTCTGCCTTCTTGAGATCTTCTTCAGCCTTCTTCTTTGCCAACTCCTCCATCTGCCGGGTCTCCTCTGCTTTCTTGAGATCTTCTTCTTTCTTTTTCTTTGCCAACTCCTCCATCTGCCGGGTCTCCTCTGCCTTCTTGAGATCTTCTTCGGCCTTGTTCTTTGCCAACTCCTCATCTAGCTTTCGTGTCTCCTCTGCTTTCTTGAGATCTTCTTCAGCCTTTTTCTTTGCCATTTCCTCCTCCATCTGCCGGGTCTCCTCTGCCTTCTTGAGATCTTCTTCAGCCTTCTTCTTTGCCAACTCCTCCATCTGCCGGCTCTCCTCTGCCTTCTTGAGATCTTCGTCAGCCTTCTTCTTTGCCAACTCCTCCATCTGCCGGCTCTCCTCTGCTTTCTTGAGATCTTCTTCTTCCTTCTTTGCCAACTCCTCCATCTGCCGGGTCTCCTCTGCTTTCTTGAGATCTTCTTCGGCCTTCTTCTCTGCCAACTCCTCATCTAGCTTTCGTGTCTCCTCTGCTTTCTTGAGATCTTCTTCTTCCTTCTTTGCCAACTCCTCCATCTGCCGGGTCTCCTCTGCTTTCTTGAGATCTTCTTCTTTCTTTTTCTTTGCCAACTCCTCAATCTGCCGGGTCTCCTCTGCCTTCTTGAGATCTTCTTCAGCCTTCTTCTTTGCCAACTCCTCCATCTGCCGGGTCTCCTCTGCCTTCTTGAGATCTTCTTCAGCCTTCTTCTTTGCCAACTCCTCCATCTGCCGGATCTCCTCTGCCTTCTTGAGATCTTCTTCAGCCTTCTTCTTTGCCAACTCCTCCATCTGCCTGGTCTTCTCTGCTTTCTTGAGATCTTCTTCTTCCTTCTTTGCCAACTCCTTCATCTTTCGTGTCTCCTCAGCTTTCTTGAGATCTTCTTCCTTCTTATTTGCCAACTCCTCCTCCATCTTTTGTGTCTCTTCTGCTTTCTTGAGCTCCTCTTCTGCGTTCTTCTGTGTCAGCCTTGCTAGAATCTCTTGGGCCTGTGCTTCCTTCATAGCTGCTTCTGCCCTCTTTGCTTCCAACGCCTCCTCCATCTTTCGGGTCTCTTCCCTTTCTGCTTTCTTGAGATCTTCGGCTTTCTTCTTTGTCAGCTCCATTTCTTGCTCTTCCTGCTCAATACGCTTCTGCAACTCCTGTAGCTTCATCTCTGCCATTTTCTTCCTAGTCATCTCTACGTCTCCTTCGGTCCCCTTGTCTTTTTGGTCAGCAACTGCATCCAACTTCTCATTGAATGTGGCTTGCAGTTGGTCACCAGTGTTGCACCTGCGTAGATCATCTTGGATGTCTAGGATCTCCTGGGTAGAGGCCCTACTCAGACTCAAGACAGTAGAAGCGGTTGATTGTTTTGAGGTTGATGCTGGTTCAGAGGCTTCATAGTCAGGATTCCTCCATCCACCAGAGCCATAGTCTGATGGTGTCCAATCGCTGTAGGGGGGCCATCTCCAACTCTGGCCATAATCTTGCCAAGCAGTTTCACGCCACTGGCTATATCCACCCATATCATACTCAGGGGTCATGTGGCGTTCCTCTCCCTTTGAAGGTTCTTTAGCTCGTTTCTTTCCGATAATCTTCTTCACAACGATTCTCTTGCAAGGCATCAAAGATGCAGCTTCAAGGCCTGCAGCACTTGGATGGGAAAGGAATAAAAACCCGAGGGAATATACTACTTAAAGGTTTAAGAAACTTTATACTCCTAATATACTACTTAGAGGCACCAAGGATCAATGCATCCATCAATGTGATACTGTTTTCACCCAAGACAAAGGATACTGATAGAAGAGTTATAGGGAGACAGTACTTGGGATATAGTCTCAAAATGAATGGACCTGGCCTGGCGAACTCGGCACAGCAACCTCACTAGCTTCACTGTGATTGCTTGGGGATTTCCTGGCCACCAGTGAAGGGCATCCCGTGAACGACATGTTGTATTAAGATCTGATGGAGTGAACAAAACAAATACAGCCAGTAGCACGCTTCATATTCCAAGGTAGGTTGGCGGTCCACCAAAGTGCCACTGGGCTCGGATGATGGACTTGCCACTGCTAGAACCCGAGCTTTCCTGAGTTTGGCCTTTGCCAAAAAAACCTGAAGGTCCTTCTCCATCCCAAAGCAGTGCTTAGGGGCCTAAGGAGACAAACCTTCAGTCTACCAAAATGGCTGCAAAAATATGCAAAACCTCAGCAAAAGTATGCAAAAGTGTGTTCTTTGCATGTTGCTGGATGCAAATTGCACATGTGACCAACAAAAGCACTCATTTTTCAATTTAATTTGTTGAAATGGTCCGGAGCTTTGGAACCCAAAGCAAATGACCACATTTTAGGGGGCAGCAGCAACCCAGAAAGCCGTCCAAATGTTCATGTTGAGACAAAAAATACTACAAAAATACATGGTTTCCAATTCACGGTTAAACATTGCATTTCATGGCTAAACATCGTACTTCACGGTTACTTCACGGGTACTTCACGCTACTTCACGCTACCCTTGGTTGCCTGAAATTTGAAAGTTAGCTGGAAGTCAGATAACCCTCACAAAAACAGATGAATCTATTCAATAATGTTCGACAGAATTGACTGGATGCAATTATTGTTTGAGCTAGTGATGAAAAAATCCAGCAAACCAACATTAATACCAACTAATTTCCAAATGGTGGATGTTTCTTTCTGAATTTGTTCTCTTGGGAGTAATTCATTTACAGTAAAGAGCAAAACCATTTGGAAAGGACTGAACTATTCATCAGATTGCCCCATTCCCCAGCTGAATTTGCTATCTTGTGAGTACTTCATGTAAAAAATAACAAAATCATTAGGAAATTGTTTGATGTATTCATGAGGTTGCCCCATTCCACAGCTGAATTTATTCTCCCGGGATGTATTTCATCTACGTAAGATCAAAACCATTGGGAAATCAACTGAAGTATTCATCAGGTTGCCCCATTCCCCGACTGTGGTCCCTGTGCGGATGGATTGGCCGAATGTGCCAAATCGCTGGCAGGCCAGCGGCTCTCCAGAACCCTATGGTTTGCTCAGTTGGCAGGCTGGGCCATCTATTTGGCATTGATTCTTAGAAAACAAACCATGTTACCTTGTCGACTCCGGTCTAATTGCAAGCACAATTGAGATTCCACACTTTCACTGCACAGCTGAGCTAGTGGCATCCCCCATCGGAAACAAAGTTAAATATATTTGATACTTTTGCATTCTCTCTATCCATGATCAATTAAGTATATATTCACGGGGATGCTTTTTGGAGGCACTTACTTTAGTAGACCCCCTTGGCTTTGCACTTGGAAATGAATTTCGTCAGTGGCCGGAGGTTTCCCTTCGACCAAGCACCTTTTCTCATGGCCTTGGAGTGCGGGGCACAGGGCCAACTGGATGGATGTGAGTGGATAGCAAACCAACCAATTCCACAAGCTGAAACAAAGTACTGGGAACTCCAGCGGGTTTGGAACCTTTAAGCAGTATCTTTGTCCAAGCCATTTTCACTTTGCTGTGCAACTGGTACTGCTTGGAGTCCTGGCCAATCTGGTATCAGTCCCCCAACATCTTTCGGGTGTCTGAATTGGATTTCCACGAGGCGTTGATGTGCCAAAACCTTTGAAGGGAATATTTGGGCTGTGGATATAATTTCAAACCAACAAAAAGAATCCCAAAAACTAACTAATAGAGGAATCCTTTTTGAAATTCACCAAGTTGGATCGGTTTCAATTTGGGTCCTCCACCTTCTAGACATCCAGTTCTCTACACTGCAATGTAAATGATCGACAAACATGCCAGGTGATCCTGGATTGAATTGTGTAAGTCCAGTAGCTTCACACCAAAGCCTTTTGGATAGACTTGTGTGGCTTTAAGGCCTTTTCCGCCAGACCTAGTTGACGACAACAATTAGCACGACTAAAAATGATGCCACTTTAAACTGTATCCCATTTGATGATTTGCTGAGGGATGGGCACTGACACTGATCCATCTGGTTTCTTCTTTTTGGTGGTGACTTTCAGCCGCTTACTAGCTTCTGCAAGTTTGGCACGCTGGGCTTTACTGAGAGACCGGAACAATTTGGGCATCCAAATCCTGAGATATCAAATGCGATAAGGTGAAGAATATTCGAATGATCAGTATTTCATACGTATTCATCTTGAAGATCACAAGTATTCATAAGTCTGAACTTATACCTGCCCCAACAATTGCACGGGTCATTTGCTGAGGTTGCAACGGAGTTCCCCAAAGCTTTGATGGCTTGCATGTAGGGGCTCCCCAGGAAGCCATCCAGCTGGGCAGGTGGTAAGCTATATCGATTGATCTACACTGAGTGAAAAGAACAATTGAATTGGAATACGTTCAAACACCACAACAGCTTTCTGGGACCCCTGCAAAAATTGTTCTTTCCAAATCCCAAGATGTTGTTGGATCGCTTTGGCAGTGGCCACAAAGTCGGGCAAGTAATGCATAGTACTTGACGCCGGCTGCTCCAACGTTACCCACACCCCTCTGGATGTTGCCAAGATCAAAAGCATAAGCGCACGAATTGCAATCCTCAGTTTCGAACAGTTTTCAATTTCCTACTTAAAACCAGTTCCCAGATGTTGACCATAGCAAGTTAATTTTGGCTAGAATCTGTGTGGCTTCGTTCACATAGCGCTTCTCTTCATAACCATATGGGGTTTCCGGGCCCCTACCAGAGGAAGCTCGGTTCACCCAAACATAGGATGAACACGGCGGCCCCATTGTTATGAGACCTCCTGCGCGAACACGCAGTGTTCCCAAGATTGCCTGGCAAAAGCCACGCCTAGGCAGCCAGACGGTGCATGTAAAACACAAACATTTTTTTTGTTGAATCACTTCCCACCACCAATGATTGTTTCATTAAATCTGGGATATCGATAAATGATGATAAATGATTATTGAATCGTGCAAATAACTACATATGCTTATTATATATTCAGTGGGTGTCCTTCCCCAAAAAGTTTAAACTTTGTTTCCTTGGGATGTTAAACCCAATGAAACAGTTTAAAGTATACTCACTGGGTAGGTTATAGTTAAATGGTTTCGCTCCACATTGGCCAAAAAGAATTGGGGCCCTGACGTCGTAAGCAAATTGTTCTGCTCTTGTCTCGATGCCACATCGAAAAAGTCCCTCAATTGGCCATGTGATGTTATGATAATAATGTATTACAATTTAGAACCATCTGATCCAGTTTTTGAGTGCTTGACGTGCGGTATCCATCCGCACCTCATTAAAAGCGATCATTGAACTTGGATCTCACAACCGAATGATTTGATGATATCACTTTCACTCAGTTTGGGGCTGAATGCGTTTTCGATGCTTCGCTGTCCGGCGAAGATGTCGAACAGCATGAGGTCCTGGGTTGATGCTGGCTTGAAAGAAATTGAGGGTTACACTGGATGGGGGTTTATTCAGCCAAACCTTAGAGTTAGACCATCGTACTATACTGATTTGATTCGACGGATTCCCCAAAACCAATTTTGATCTGACATGTATTCGGACTAAATCTGGGCAATCTGGGACAAAACCCTACATGGCCTAGAACATATTTCATTGAAGATGTCAGATAGGATGTGACAATGGTATATCTGTGCACATGTGGGTATGTTCTAGGTAAAATCAGGTGCCCTTTTTCCGTTGAAATTATCCATTTAGGGCACGTCATTTTGACACATAGGTACCTGTCCCAACCCGGGTTGATTGAGCGCCCAACGCGGGTGTAAGTTTGATAGGATGTCGCTGCCACAAAGTCTGCATAGTCCAACCTCAATCATTCAAGAGGTCTTCCGATGGGGACTTACTTGTTCACTACAATTGAGGAGGTGGCAGTATCTTTGGTGCGCCAAGGTGTAGGCACATTGCAGCACTGCATACTGTCAGAGCGAGGGGACTCAACTTCCAGTTGCCCCGAGGTGCCATCCCTACCTTTCTACTTGCAGCACTACAAGGCTGGAAGTTAGGACTCCTGTGAGGACCAATGCTGCGCTTGCACATTGACAGAAGTCAGTAGCGCAAAGTAGACAAAAGTCCAATTGTGTTGCAATGCATTTGAATCAATGTTGAAAGAGAGTAAGGGAGACTTGACGGCGAGCATTTTCCCCGAGCTCCAATCTGATCAAACATTGAACCGCCGATCCTTCACAGCGATCACCCGATAGTATAATTAAACTATCAAATCGACTCCATTAAAGTCGGCACCCACAAGCCCCTTAAGAGCTCAGCATAACTGATGAGTGATCAGTCTTCAAAGACACGCCAGCCGGCCAAATAACAGGCCATGTGCCACCTGAGCGAGGTTTGGCTGCAAAGACCGCTTGGGTGCCAAGGATTGGATGGCAGCAGTGTTGGTCAGCTAAGAAATAGAAAATATATATTTATAAATGATGGATCAATATAATTATGATTATAATATAGCTACATCACTATCATATAAAAGTAGATGGGCCTGGGAAGAATCCATGATCTGGGGCCAAGACGCAGCCACAATGCCACCATGAACTCCCCAAGTAATGGTCACACCATCCTTGGAGTTCGCCTGCCAAAGATTTCCCAAGCAATGACTGGAGTACCGAGTGATTGAAAACTCAACTGGTGCTGAATTTATTTGATGTAGCCTTCAGCTCCTTATCGAATTTCTTGTTGGTAGCTTCCAGCAGCACGGCATGAGGCTTAGTGACATAGAAGGACCCCGAAAGCCTACAGGTGGTGCTACCATTGGTGTTGTACATTTCAATCAAACCAAGTTGAATCCAGGAACACTGTCATGATGGCCACAGTCTCGTTTGACTCAGCCAAGTCCTTTCCAAGAAGGTCTGCAGAAGGATGTTGAGTCCATGACCTAGCATTGAAAAAACGAATGATAATCAAATAACAATAATTATACCAAAAATAGATAGTGAGGTTTGATTCCAAAAAGGCCCCGGCATCCCATCAGCCAGTTTCTTCTCACTTGGAAGCTGGTATCCCAGATCCAGTGAGGCAAGCTTCCGGACGTTGGCAATGTTCTTGTCTCGGACTTCCTGCAAAACAAGGCAGTGGCAGCTTGGGTTTGTGAGGGTTGACAAGTTGCTACTAGGATCTTGATTCTGTTTGAATATTAAGCCTTATTAAGCCCGTAGGATTCATTCAATTAAGATTCACGTGAAAGATTCTTCCCGGTCATTCCCAGTCCTTTCTGTAAGCCTTTGCCTTTTCCGCTTTCGATCCGGGCTCCTTTCCCATCTAGAAACCATGCATGGGGTCAGGGGAAATCAGGAATGGCGTTTTGAGAATGATTTGGTTTGCCTTGACAAAACAAATTGAATCCCTGAACTGAATTCAAGTCTTGAACTGCCCCCTTCCCTGGTTCCAATCCTGATGCGGTTCGGAAGAGTGAGGTGGCTCCTGGCCATGGCCGGCTGTAAAGATTGTGTAAGCGCCCCAAATATGAATATTGACATATAATATATTTGATATATATAAATTTGATACAAATATTGAAGTATAGATTGTTTCCAAAAGCATGAAGAAGTAGTGGTACAACACTACCAGTCACTACCAGAGCTCTTGCCGAAGACCGTGAACTAATTCCTGATAACAGAGACCATTGGAAGCTACTAACCCTGAAGATGAAATAAACAACCTGCTTCGGGGATACTGCTGCTGATGCGTAGTTCACCTATCTAACTGCATATCGCTTGGAGATCTATCTAGATTGTTGGTCAGCTGCTTTTGAATGCTGAACCTCTGGGTGCCATGGTTGCATGGTCCATGCGTTTTTGAATCCTTAGCCAGTCTCCATTTTATGGAGCTAAAAACCCGAGAATGCCATAGTACAGATCCCATACTCCCCCAGCTTCCAAGGGTCTCCTCCGTCTTGTCTTTGGATTCTGCCTTTTCCTCCTTCTTTGTGTCTTCCTTCTTTGGCTCCTGTTCTTTGGCAGCCTCGTGGTTCTTGGTCTCTTGCTGCTTGTTGTCCTTGTCTTTGAGTCGCCTGCGCTTGGGCTTCACATCGCTTGGGGCGCTTTGGCCGCTTTCCAAGGGCTTGTCTTTCCCTTCGGCATCACCAGTTTTCCTCTTCTTCTTGGCTGCCTTTGCAGGCTTGTCACCGTCCACCAGTCCAAGGTCCCTCTCCATTCTCATGTCTTTGTCCACTGCTTCCATTTCGTAATCTAACTCCGGGTCAGCGTCCTCTGCAACTGCATCATCCTCTTTAACGTCCTCAGCCTCCTTGGCCTTGCGTCCTCTTCCCCTTCCCCTTCCTTTTCCTTTACCCTTGCCACTTGCTTCCTTCTTGGCTGTTCTCTCCTTCTGCCTCAAGTTCTTCTGCTCCTCCAGCAAGTGGTCCATGCGATCTCTGTTTTCTTGCTCCTGATCCAGGGTCTTCAAGTCAGGCAGTTTCTCAAACAAGGGTTTTGTGTCGTGGAAGACGCCTTTCTCCTTCAAGCGCTTGTTCTGCGCAGTGGGGTCCAAATCACTTTCGGCATCTAAATCCTCTGCTTCCTCTTCACCAAGGTCGCTGGTTTTCTTCTCATTGGTGCCTTCTGTAGTGCTCTTCTTGCTTTGCATGCTCTGGCAGTCTTCTGCTTTTCTTTTTGGACACCTCTCCTCAGCTTCCTCTTTTTCCATCTCCTTGAGTCTTGCCTTGATCATTTCAGCTGCTTTTGCTGCCTTTGCCACCTCCAACTTCCACTCCGCAAGTTGTCTTTTCTTCTCTGCTTTCTCCAACTCGGCCTCCTTCTTTCTTTCAGCCTGCAAAGCTTCCATCTTCTCCATCTCATCCCGTTTCTTCATTGCTTCTTTCCTCTTTGCCAACTCCTCTTCCAGCAGTCGAGTCTCAGTTTTCTTCTGCTCTTCTTCTGCCTTCTTCTTTAGCAGCTCCTCTTCAAGCCATCGGGTCTCCTCTGCTTTCTTGTGATCTTCTTCGGCCTTCTTCTTTGCCAACTCCTCCATCTTTCGTGTCTCCTCAGCTTTCTTGAGATCTTCTTCTTTCTTCTTCTCTGCCAACTCCTCCATCTGCCGGGTCTCCTCTGCTTTCTTGAGATCTTCTTCGGCCTTCTTCTTTGCCAACTCCTCCATCTGCCGGCTCTCCTCTGCTTTCTTGAGATCTTCTTCGGCCTTCTTCTTTGCCAACTCCTCCATCTCTCGTGTCTCCTCAGCTTTCTCGAGATTTTCTCCTTTCTTCTTCTTTGCCAACTCCTCCATCTTTGTTTCTTCCTCAATAACCTCATCCTCACTAAATGCTTCCTCCTCCTCTTCCTCCTCAACTATAACAATCTCTTCGACCAACTCTTCTTCAGCTTCCTTCTGCAGGTCCTCTTCCTTTGGCTTTTCTTCTTTCCCTTTCACCTGCCACTGCTTTTCCCCGAGGTTTTGAGCCAGTATTGGAGAAGACATGAGAAAACCAGGCTGAAAGTAATAATGCTGAGATCGAGATGGTATGTCGGTATGTCGACATGCAATGCCTTCAGGGCTGGATGTCGGATCGAGCGTGTTCTCTTCTCAATGCCATTCTCCTACACCATTGCGGTGAAGAAAAACATATGTCATTTTTTCTTGGTTTTATATCCAATTGGCATGCCAATTGGGGCTGTTATGGATAGATCCTAGATAGTTGGGGCTGTAATGGATAGATCCTAGATAGATCCTAGATAGATCCTAGATAGATCAATATATCATATATCCTAGGTTGATTTATATCCATTGGATTGGGGCTGGAATGTGTGAACCTGTCCTCATAGATCATGGACACAAGTTTTTTCAGCTTTGACATGTTGCAATCCTTTCTCCTGACCAATGTGGTGATATACGCAGATGCGCATCGAAATGGGTACCGCACGAATCAAGAACCATATAGCCATCGGTTGATACCCTGGGGATTATCAGAGTCCCGGCCTTGCATTTGTAGTACGGCCGTGGCTGCTCAAAATCTTGCTTGCCAAAATCCTGTGAAGGTTCCCTTCTGTTGCTGCCCAATCCTCCAAGACTCCATGGAGGCCAGGAACAGGGAGCTGGGGATCAAGTAAACCACAAAATAGTAATTGTCACGACTGGGATTCAGTGGGTTCATTCATTGTTGCAACACTCCACCGCCCCCTGTCCTGAACTTCTTCACTGATTTCTGTCTGTTCAACTAGCTTGTACTTCACTGCGATGGTTGCCAAAGCTTCCTGCAGTGGACATTATGGTGCATAGATTGGAACCTGGTGTGTGTGTAACTTAGATCCTAGTAGTACATGCCGCATTGGATCAATTTGCTCATTTTAATACTAACCCTGCCTTCACTTCCAGTGCTGTTGGTGGGTCGAGTGCAAACGAAGGCAACCATGCCAAAGCGAACTGCGTGTTGACATCACACTGAATCTGGCCGCACGTTGCTGTTTGCAGGCGTGAGGAGGAAGCAACACATGCATCACCAAAACAAGAAGGCCGGGGATGCCATGTCTTCATTGAGCCCCTTGCGCTCATGGATATCCAAGAAGGTAAACTCCACTGGAATCTGGCGATGAAAGTTGAACTGGGAAAAATTGGAACATTGAGCCAACTGAACAAATATAAAACTAGTTGGGAACACCTTGCCACTGTTCAGGGCCCTCTTTGCCTTTTTCTCACAGATCCCATCCTTGAGAGCCAACTCAACGAACCGCTGGGTCCGGTAGTCTCCCTCTGACTTTGGGTCACCTTTCAAGTACTCGGCATAGAAGTCCTGAAGTCGTAGGGGCAATGGGTTCCTAGATCTTGGGGAGGCTTGCCTGTCTTTTCAGCAACCCTGCCTTCAAAAGATTGATGCGGTTTTGGTCAGGCTTCACTTTTGGCATGGCTGCGTGGTGGGATAAGAATCTGGCAAACAAAACTTAAAACTTAAAACGAACAAATTATGTTTCATCAGAATTTGGTTTGTTGACGTTTTTTGTGTGCAATGTCAGCCAGGTACCCTCTATGAAGCGGGCGGGCGCACATGAATTGGGTCAAAGATGTCGGAAAACTTTGAACAGTTGGTGCATGGATTTGTTTGGACATGGGGTATGGATTACGATCCTCTTATTTATCTCCCATTGAAACATGGTACTTTGATTGTGATACACCCTGTGTCAAAACAACTCCACATCCTAGCACTTGGATAGAATTAAAATGATCCTCCTAGGCCCTATAGGGGTTGAATTTGCTGAAATCCACTTCCCAATTAACTTTGACCCACACCATGGCACGGCCGGGGAGGCACCTCGCTTCCTGCTAAGTTGACGCTTTCCTTTGGTGAGTATGCAAAAAAGGGCGCAGGATCATATGGGATGATGATCACAATGCCCACTTGACACCTTGCAATTCTCAGCCCCTGGCTTTTGGACAAGGCGCGTTTCATGGAATGGGGCAAGGCTTGAGATTTGAGCCCAATGGGACCATGGGACAATAGCAGCATTATAGGGAATGTAGAAGTTCATAAATCCAAGCTTTTCACAACTTCGATGTTTGGCTGGCCAAACATAGCATCTCTGCATGTCGAAGTTAAACTTCAACAGTGACGCCTAGGGTATATATTATGTATAGAGCGCATTCCCACAGAAAATTTGATTGTAATTCAAGTATATAGTGATCCCCCCCAAAAAAATAACCCACAACTATTTTAGTGGGATTCGGGATTCTACCAATTTCATCCGGTTTTTATCTTTTCGATTCTTTTTGGGGATTGCTATATTAATACCCCCATGAAATTCATGGAATATCCGCAGACCCATGGCTCTCACCACTGGCACCTCTGCTTTGCAGGTGGCCCTCTGTTCTTGGGCTAGGATGGTCAGGGCTCGAGCATACCTTGAGGGCTTGACATGGTTTGACTCCTTGTTTCCCCTGAGGGAAGTTGGTTTAGAAATTCAAAAATAATATGTGAGATCTATAAAACGAAGTGGTTTAAACTAACATGATATATGATCGAAGGGAGTGTAGAAGTCAAAATTCCGACAGTATGGACAGATGGAAAAGCAGAGGTGGGAAGAGTTAGAGAGGAGAAGAGCAGAAGAGAGAAGATCAGAGAAGAGAAAGTGTGAGAAGAAAGAAGGTGCAGACTGTGTCTTTCCAATGATTTGTGGTTCCGGAGGGTCGAAAAGTAGGCTCGCTAAAGCGGCGGGTGCGGAGCCATCTGGCCACATGAGAGATGAAAAGCTGCACGCCGTTGTGACACGAAGCACAAGCAAAAAAACTAAAAACACCCACGTTCAAAGCACTTTTGGAAGTGGAGATGTCGAAAAAGTGCACACTGTTGTGGCGCAAAGCACATTCCCAAGTCAAAATGCACAAAGCACACACTTCTCGGAGCACTTTTGGAAGTTGAGATGTCGAAAAAGTGCACGCCGTTCTGGCGCGAAGCACATTTCCAAGTCAGAGCGTGCAAAACACATACCCTCCAGTACGAGCAGGCACCCTTTAGGAAGATTTTAGACCTACAACTACAACTAACTCCACTACACTTGAGAGCAGGCGGAGGCGGACAAAAGGTAGTGTAGTGGGAGAGGAGTGGTGTCAAAATGCTGCGCCCCTAAGATGATACACCAAAAACGTTTTTGCGCAGTCTAAGATGATTTTATCCAGAGCATGACTGCATGACACTGTGTCTTGTGCTGCGTGAAATGATGCACGAAAAGGGGTTTATTTAAAACCCCTTTTTAAGACCCCTTGCAGCAGCTGTTATTGAGGCTGAAGCATACCAATTATGCTGGACTACAGGGACATCTCCCTCATTGAAAGTGTGCCTCTAATGTGGGGGCCCGTGACCGCGTCACCCGTGGGAATTGAACCCATGACCATTTTCGGGGGGGGGGGGGCCCCCCCCTTATAATTGATATCCAATACATAACGGCGAGAATTCCATGAATTCCACGGGCTGGCCCCCCAATACCCCCTAAGCTTGTGCTGAAGCACGGAGAACTCAGGTAGCTGACGCTACCTTTCGTGACTATAACTACAACTACAACTACAGCTGCACTACACCACACTACATCCAGCAGTCGTGGGTGAGGTGACCACTGCAACCATTGCAACCACTCCAAAAAACACAACTCCAACCACCTTTCGGTCCATCAGTGGATTCGCTCTGCCATCCATGCATCACAACAACTCACCTCTCCTATAGTGTCCTATCCTTGAAACTTCCGCCAGCGCCTTGTGCGGTACTACTGGTATAACTGCAGTTGATTGGATTTGTAGAGCAACTATAACCAACAAACATCACTGGGGACAATTAACAACTGGGGGCCCCAGTTTGAACCTTGATGGACCAGTGTCTTGCACTCTGGGCTTTGGACATGCACAACCCATCCATAGCAGTGTCCCCATCTTTAGCCCCCCATCTTTCAAAAGATTATATAGCTGGTTGTGTCTAAAAACAAGGTATGCCATGGTATACCGATATACCCTAAATTATCATAACACTTGGGAAAATCATCCTTAACTACTGGATTTGGTTGTTTTCCCAGAATTTTCATACAACCCCAACTCACTTCCCATCTAAAAAACAACACCTGGGCCATGTGAGGTCCAAACTCTTCTTCTGGCAGCTGCACCGACTTGGCTTGGTCGATCGCTTCCTGTAGCCTGGGAGGAGGTGATGTGCAGCTGGAACATCCCATCCACTGCGGCTATGTGGGAAATCTGCCGATGGGTGCCAGTGTTCAGCTTGAATCTTCCCATGTTTTTCGATGTCCACTTCATGAACAAAAACCCTGGCCCAATCTTTCAATCCTGGCCCATGGATCATATTTTACATTTGATGATTCCATTTTATTCCCTCCTTCCCAGGTTGGGTTTTAGGCGTAAACTCTGAGGCTGAGCTCCACACAAGTTGAGGTCTTCCAGGGATGGACCTTCATCACCTGCATTGCTCACCTGCCAGCGTCTAAAATACTTGGAATAGCTGGGAAATAGAATAGATCCCACGCCTAAACCATGAAAAAGTCAAGTTTGGCTTTGAATATCAGGGGGTAAGAAACCATCTAAGTGGAAATGATCATACTTGGTATTCTCTTCGCTGTTGGGCATTGTCATTCTGAGGCCAGATCCCAGCCTTGGCCAATTGGGTTGCCATCTGCTGCCGGGCTTCATGCTTCGGGGCCTGCACAAACATCAAAAAGACGTCTCCACCCAAAGATGTAGGCCATAAAGAAGCATGGACTTACCTTAAGAATCCTTAGGATCCAGGGTCTAAAATGGTCTAAAATTTATCCAGCATAATGGCATAATAAGCAAAATTGATATAGCGAGAGTTCTATGACTCCTCAGCACATTCGATCCAGAAGTCCAACAGCCCCCGATTCCGTGGCAGAAACGGCCTCCACTTTTAAGATCTCCTCAGCCTCTGAAATCACGTTGGCATCCACGCCAGCCTCCCTTGCCTTGCAGGACAGCTGAGTTCGTCGACGAGCAAACTAAACGCGTGGATGAACAAACAATTTAAACATATTTAAACTATATAAAACATGTAACATTCAAAATTCTTGTTCAACAATATGTTCAACACACATATCATCTACATCGCAACATAAACCTCAATAATTTTCAATCACATCCATCCCAATCCCCCACCTGCTGTAGCGCAAACTTCAAGGCCGCAATATCTCTGGATTCTTGGGCCTTCTTTAGAGCTGCCTGCCGTGGCATCCGCATGGTGCCATTTGCCCAGGATCTTCCTCATTCTTCGGTCTCCAATAGGCATTTCCCAACCCTCAAAAACAGTTGAACGAACAGAACTATAGAAATCCACTGACGTCCACTGGGTTGGTTTATGGTTCAATCTGTTGAATCTATCGGAAACCACAGTGTTCTTAGCCCTAAATCAAAATGACCCATTTTACCCGCCCAATGGCCAACATCATCGCCCACCTCAGCTGCTTCCTTTGATTCGGCACCCCGAAGCAGTTCCTGCCGATGAATCCCAGATCTACATCTTTCGGGATGTCAAACTCAACTGTCAACATCCATCATCCATCTCTATCTCTGTGGCTGTGCCTGAAAATTAGCTACCCATAGCTACCCCCCCAAAAAAAGGATCGATGGTCAATGAAGATCTTCTCCCATAAAAAGCTGGCCATGCTAGGCTGCCTGGGGTAAAAATCCACCGTGGCTGTCCTCGAAGGGCTGCATCTCCTCCTCGGGGAGCTGGCAATTCTTGGCCGCCGCAATGGCGTCGCGCAGGGCACCTGATTGTTGGGAGGTTCCAAGGGATCAAAAGCCTTGGGACGTCAGAACTTTTTTTTTTTAGTTGCTTGTTAGATGGGATGATTTACTCATTTCTAATGGGGCAATCCTACGAAATCCCCAATTGTTGGATGCTTTTTTGGGGGGTTCAAGCTGAATTATAAATTGCATTTCGCCACGGATGAAGTACAGTACTTGGATCAGTGGGTTCGGTGGACCTTGAATCTTGACCCCCCGTAGCCCTGTCTCCTCACCAAGGCCCCGACTGGCATCGTTATTTTGGGCTTCTCGCAACTGCTGACGCGCCTTCGCTCTTGGAACTTCTTCTTGGAAGACCTGCAGGGTACTGATGGTCATGCAGATCTGGAAAAACATGTTATTGTTGAACGGTTGAACGGACAATCTGCGAGTGCAGAAAAAAGCAACGCGCACTCATGTTCCGGCGAAAGTATAAAGCACTTGGCAATTTTGGAGTTGCAGCAATTCAGAATGATGCAGCTACCAACCATCATCATTGATGACACCCAAACTGAGCCACCAACCCGTTGCCCAGGCTCCAAGTCCTTCTCTGCCACGCCTGGGCTCTCGATGGCAGGGGTACCAAGGAAAGTAAGGATGCCTGGTGGTTTTTTGATCTAAGCCATCTAAATGGGAGATTATGGCCAAAGTATCCGAACAAACGGACCCTTTTCGGGTTGCATCTGCCATCTGCCATTCTTCATCAAAAGCTGTCCATCAACTGAGTGCTCAGGCCCTTTTCCTTTGCTTTTTGCAATGCCTGCGTGGAATCAAAAGTGCTTTGACCATCACTCTCCAAAGTCGGTGGCACAAATAAACTTCCGGAACCAATAAGGATAAGGAAAATACATGTTTAACTGTGGTTTGACAAATACCTTTTAGCAATTTGATAGATTATTGGATATTACTGGTGTGACCTCCATCCTCTCCAGTCCCTTATCAAAGTGCAAGTGCCGTGCGCCTCCTCTAAGGACGCCAAACCCTGCATGCCAACTGGCTTGCTCTTCTGCTGCTGGATCCTGGCAACTCATGAAATGCCCAGAACGAACAAGATATCACGTGTTAAAAGAATTGGCATCATCACCCAACTATATTTTAGGGATGAGAGATGCTGAAACATGATGAACCATGATATAACAATTCTGAAACATGAAGAACTTCTGAAGAACCATCATAAACATCATGAATCTATCAATCCCAGCTAAATGTCCCAGCTCAAAAACCCAACAGCGCCAGGGCTGCTCATCGATGGCCGCCAGCAAATGATCCAAGGCCTGGTCTCGCTCCTGTCGTTCGACACCATGCGGTCCATGGCTCAAAATGCTGGGGACATTGGATCATCTGTTCATCAAAAAAATCTATGGAAAATTACCCAATATGACCCAATTGTAGATTATTGTAGATGATTTCACAAACAAAAACGCTGCAATTTTCCATCGATTACGAGAAAGATCCAGAAAGTAGAGCAGTGCTCAATCGATGCTTGCGGTCAGCGCCTGCAACTCTTCTAGTCTCTTGTTGGCGGCGTTCAAGAGGGCCTCGTCCTTGACCTCAGAGTTGACCACAATTGACCCAAAGCCACAGCTCGTCTGGTCACATTTTAAGGGCAGCCGTTGCTTGTCCTTACAGCCAACATTTTGGAGCTTCAACAAATCCAAGGTTTGTGGTATCCAAATTTGATCCACAACTGTACTTCACTGGACCCCACGGGAAGAACAGATAAGAACGGAGCGTTTTGTCATAGTTTGTCTGTCATCCCTGGGCCACACATCATGCACCACCAGGGGCACCAACGCCAGCTTGACGAGCACCTTCCAAAGCTGCCTGCAGGTCAAGTCTGGTGCTCTGGGTCTCAAAAACCATTTTTTTTAATGGAACTTTGCAGAACCTTAGATACCCCTGAACATCTAATATCATCTAATTATGTTCAACATTGTTCAACCACTCATCCCATCGATGAACCTCAAACAACACCCAATCTTCCAATCATTCACCAGAAAATATATCCGGGGGTGGACAACCCATGGTTTCCCTTGGAAAAATGATCTACAGCGGTTCACCAAAGATTGAGATCCCAAATTCATGACGGTCCCCTGGCCTCTACATCCCGCAGACTGGAGCCGTGCAACAGCTCCTCTAGGCGTTTCTCTGCCGCACTGCGGCGCTGCTCCTCTTCTGAAAGGCCTGGCGGAAGTGACAGGAACCGACGAGTGGAGTCATCAGGTATGACATTAGCAACCTATTTAACTGCAAAAATGACTGTCTGATAATGCTGAGTCACTATCTTCTCATAAATTTGATTGATTGTGCATGATATCCGTTTGTAAACTGGATTGAAACTGACCAAGGATTAGGCTGCACAATCAGCTAAAAGAGGTTCAATCTTAAGCCCTTTGCCACACCACACTGAGTTGATTGGTGATACCAGTGATATTATTCGGTTTTCCTCCCAAATCTGGCTGGCTACATGAGTGAGCTTTGTGAGGATAATTTTTCGGTGAACATTCGATGAGCTTGCAAAATTCCCAGTCACGGCTGCAAAGTGCAGGTCTCAACCAACGAGTTTTTTCATAACATTTCATAACTCATTGGGCAGTTCACAGAGTACCCAGAATGGCAACTCACAAGACATGTTTTACAGATGCAGCCCCAGAACTGCGTTTCACATGCATCCATCACAGCCTGCCTGGCTCCAAGACCTCCAAAGCTACTTGTACTGCCTCTTCCTGGAAATGGATCCATGGAATGCTGAGATTTCGGCTGCAAAATAGGATTGTGAACTCTTGAGGCTTTTGGACATGGGAACAAAACATAGCATCATATAACATTGCAAACAGCACTATGACAAAAGGGAATACGTCACTCCAAGTGACTTCACAGAATGCATCGCTGCCAAGGCACAAGGTCAGCTTGAGCTACGGTCTCAGTCCTGTGACAACAAGCCCTTTGTGGCTCAACCCGAATTCAACAACTGATGGAACTGAAAGGGCAATTAAATAACTAAGTTTAACTATAGGCTAATATCAACTACTATATATTATATAATATACTAGTACCATCTAGTACCAATGTGTTGAGTGTCCAAGAACATCACTGTTCTGTCCTGACTCGTCTCTTTCTGTTCTTTTGCACCTCACAATTGCTTTGAAGCAGATCTGTAAACGTCCAAATCAACTTCTGCTCGCACTGGTCATAAGCGACACTATGATGTACAATGATGTACATCCACACTCTCAGGGCAGCTTCTAAGTCCACAACTGAGCTTTCTTCATTTTGAGCTTCCTCCGTCGGCAATACCAGCTGTTGATCCCTTTTGAGTCTCCAAAATCTTCCACACACAGCAATATCTATGGTATTGATTTGGGAAACCGCATAAACCATCTCCAAGATCATCATGCGTGGGTGGGATAATCTACATGGATAAACTGAAAAACCAGCCCCAAATGATAGTTACTCGTAGTTGATTCTTGGTATTACTATTCGGTTTCCTGGTTTCCCACATAATTATACTACTTTATATTACCCACAACGACCCATACACAGCAGTTGCTCCCACCTCGACGGCACCAGCCTCAGCTTCTTTTCGGATGGCACAGTGCTACCCAAAATCCCGTTTGAGTACACTTCAAGCATGGGTAACTATCAAATATCATGATACACCATTATGTTTTTCCACTGCCATAATCATTCTCAGTATTTTCTATTGTCATTGCTACTATTGCAAACTATGTTATAACCGTAGATTTCATCATGATATCTTTGCCTCTACCACTATAGTCTGGGGATATCTTTGGCAAATGTCCTGATACCCCCAGGCTTCCAGGTCTGCTCGCTCACTACCAAGCTCCGCACTGCTATGAGCTTCTCGACGATCTGGCCATATGATTCAGAATTAAGTTGATCATCCAACTCATGGATGTCAAACATAAAACATGAATCTTACATACGTACAACTTGACATGTGTGTTTTTGTGTGTTGGCCACTAATTATGGTTGACACATTCACATCAATCAAGCATATGCGAGAGACATAAATAGGTTCGTCTGGGTACCCTAAGAATCTTTTGGTGAATCATCAACTTCCCATGACTATAGCTGGGGGTATACCTAATGTTAAGACATACCAAAATATCATCCACTATGGTTAGTCATATAATGTCATATATATGTACACATATTTATATATCATATCCGACTATATTCCATAGAAACTGTTGGTTTCCCCATTACAACCCAGTAAGCTACCGTCGTTTCCAATTATATGTCCATAGACATGATTACAATATATTACACTAATAACCAATAATTGACTAATGTCAAGGAATTTAATATAGTAGAGAAATAACTAGTTTCCCATTAATCCATCAATAATAGATTGGGTGATGAATAGTTTATCAATCAATAGTTCATAATCCATCAAACTTTCTATTGTGGTTAAAACAATTTCATAAACCATCCCCAAATCAAAATAACTAGAGTCATCACCATGTTTATAGGTGCTATGTTTACCATTCCCAGTCATGGATGGTTTATGACATTGTTTTAACCACATTAATTAATTAATTAATAGATCATCCATTCATCTACCAACTTTCTTCTGATCTCGTGAGCCTCCCCATGGTTCAAGTCTTTGGCGTAGGAGAGCGCGCTGTTACCCTGAGAAAAACGGGATGGTGTCCGAGCATGGCTGGGATCCCCACACCATGGCTTTCCCATGAAAAATATGACCACTAGCTGTATGTGTGTTATATATGATATCATAGTATATAATGTATATATATATATATATATATTTGTATATATAAAGTCAATAGCTAATCATGTTAATATCTGACGAACAACTTTGATTGTAGGATTCCCTGAGGAACATGTGGCTCAAGAGTTGATGCTGCAAAACAACTTGTCATATGATTGCTGGAAATCCATGCAAACTGCTGTAACCATCACAACGTGGCTTTGGGTGCCCAGAACGTTGGGGTGTAGTTCCACGAGAGTTGTATGGGCCCCATATCCCAACTTATGGAGGTTAGAATCCCATAGTTGTATCATGTAACAGCTATGAATATGTGATTCTTCCAGTAAAACCTCTATTTATAGAAGTTTTTCCATTCTAATTCCCCATAGTTATACCAATCAAATGCCACCCTAACTGCACAAAAACTGAGACCACTGGTGACCTGATAGTCTTCCACACAGGGATTGGCGTGCTTTTCCAAGAGCGCCTTGGACAATCCCAAAACCATACAGCAAACCTTTTGCAACCCCTCAACAAGTATCAAAAGGATAGAAAAGTCACATCCAATCCTAAAAAAGAGTGTTTTTTTTTGAACCTGTTCTGTCTGTGAGTTAAACATAGTTAAACTATTCCAAATCATCGCCATACCCTCGTTGAAACATATTGAAACATATTGAAACATGTCCATATTGCCCTTGTAGCGAAATTATGCGAAAGTCACTTCCAGAGTCCCTGGGGCATCCACTTGCAAACCTGCCACATTGCCAGTGCCAGCACAGAACATCAGGGCCTTGGTATTGATGGCCTGTTGCATGCTAGCTTTTTGAACACATGGTGGAATCTCAACATATCCTGCAAATAGAAGAATTTTCTGGGTACCCTCTGGTAAACTGTCCCATAACTATGGAAAATCACTGTTTTTCAATGGCAAACTGTTAAATCACCAGATGGTAATCTATGTTCATCCCATGACCAACCATTATTAATGGATATGAACCACCATTAAATCATTAATGGATGTAACAAGTTCCCAGGTGGTAAAGGTCTGACCCTTCCTCGACTCAGCCTCCTGCCGTGCAGCCGTTGTGATCTCTTGCTTCGCTCATTGCTCCAGCATTCAGCAGGAGGCGCAAGATCTCAGCCTGCCAAGGCTTTCTGAGAACCATTGGACTATGCCTCAAGACCAATGGTAGATATATGGCATACCATCTGTATATGTACATCTATGTATCTATAGTCAATGGGGTCTTATGACTTTATCAACCAACTTGATATATCTATAGTTCATGGCGGTTTAAAGGGTGGATAAACCAACTTATAACTGGGGCAGTTTCCGAGCTGCTTTTTGGGTCCTCTCAACCTATGTCGTGGCCTGCGAGTGACGGGCTGCATGATGCAGTGCAGTCTTCTGCGTATCATCCATAGCGTTCACGTACACCTGACACACATTGCACACATCGGCGATACCTAATGAACTACCCAAACCCAACGGATTTGGTCCCGACAAAACTGAAAGAAACTAGTCATTGATTCTGTTTACACTGCATTTGACCCACTTGATGCCTCTTCCCGAAAAAAGGGCACTACACTATGCAGCACTTCACCGGTTGGCCTCATCTTTGTTGAGCAAAAACTCAACCTTGGTCGCTTCGTCACACTGCTTCCCGACGGGGGTCATCCCAGTTCGGGACACATCAGCTCATCAGCTCAGCTCATCAGCTCATCCAGATCCATTCCCAATCGATTCCATCTTGATTCTTGGCTAATCTTGGCTATATACACTTTATGATTCTCCCCCAATCTTTACATATCTTTACTGGATAGCCCATCTGATATTTAACAACGATCCGCCAAATCTTCCCCATATTCACTATCTCCGAATCTTTCTTGGCCATGTATATTTACAGAGAGAATACTCTAATTCCTTGATGTTCCCCAATCTTTACTGGTCGGCTATATTATGTCTCTACATGTATCTACCATTACCCAACATTCACTGGACATCCTCAAGCAGATTCGCTGAATATTCACTGGATACCAGTGAATATATCCAGTAAAAAAAACATGTTTTCCCATTATTTACTGGTAATTACATGGTTATATACCCCAATATTCACTAGATATCAAGTTTTATTAATATACCACCGGTGAATATCTCCAGTAAATATCCAGTGAAATCACTGAATATACCCCATTATTATACCAGTCAGTATAGCCCAATATTCACTGGTAGTTTATGTATCCAATGACTTATGGCACTTAGATATGCCATTACAATCCATTCTATACCATCATCAAAATTGGCAAAAATTCACTGGATATTCATGATGTATACTGGATTCATTGATACTGTGCTATATTCACTGGTTATACTGGGCTATCTTGGGCTATATTAACTGGCCATACCCCATTGATTCATTGGATATCCATCCCCAGCGTTCCCCAGCTGCTAAGTCTCCCCGCAATGGAGACCGAGCCGAACGCCGCGGCGTAGATCAACGGCGTGCGGCCGCGCACGTCGCAGCAGTCCAGCGGGCTGTCACGACGCCTTGGCGTTGAGATGAAACTGCTATTACTGATGATACCCTCTGGTAAACTAACATAGCTATGGAAAATCATGTTTTTTAACGGTTTAAATCAACTATAAATGGCAATTTTCAATAGCTAGATCTTAAATTACCAGATGGTAAATTATTGATGAATTATGGATAACTATATGGGGTGTAATACTATTATAATTCTCTGTTGGGAAGAACTAGATTAAGTATTGATTGTTGAGTTTAGGGTCTAATTTTGGCATGTTCCCCCAATTGATGGTGGTAGAACTGTTCATGATCTCCCAGGATCTAATTTCAGGTACTACAGTTGAATCATGTTGAATTAGTAAAGACATTCATGATATCAATGATATCATCTAAATTTATTACTATTCTGGTTGGTGGTTTCAACCACCTTGAAAAATATTAGTAAATGGGAAGGATTATCCCATATATTATGGAAAAATAAAAATGTTCCAAACCACCAACCAGCTATTATAATTATATTGAAGGACTTGTCACTTCATAGGGAATAAACACTGACAATGCGATTCGTTCATGGATCATCGCAGCGCAAAGCACCTGGAAGGAGACATGGGCGAATCATCACCTGTCGCCATATCCAGGGTCACTGCAGGGATGTCAAATGCCATTAAAACAAGAAACAACCCATTCCAATTTATGGCCATATCGAATGGACAAAATATGGAAAAAGTATAGAAACATATATTAGAACCATGACCATAACTGAGACAAAAATACGAGGCATGGCCATAATGTGGCCATAATATGGCCATAAATTGTAATTATTCTAATTATGATCATGTTTCTAATATATACCCCCATCCTCCGAAAATATGGCCATCATTCTTTCAATCCATTGGAGTTTGGAGTAGCCGCACTGCACGGGTGCGGCAGACTCTCCGGTCGCCTTCGCGAGCCACAGCCTGGTGAGGATGGTCCACAATCACCATCCCACTTCGATAAATGAATGGTCCAACAGTAATGATAAACATATACAAAAAAAATACACAAAATTCAAAAATCATCATCCTTCAATGGTAGGATTATGATTGGGTGAATCCCACAATCACATACAATCACTGACCTTTCCAGGCCCTTCATCTTTCCCTTCTAGGCCTCCGCAATCTCCTTGAACTTTTGAAAGTCCCCAGACCTGCCATGGATCCATGGAGTGTGAGGTCAGCATCCTGACCCCAAGGCCCAAGGAGCCAAACCAAATCTTCAAAACAGAAACATCAATCATCATAAAACTATTCATTAAAAAAAACACAAATGCATGATCAAGTCTCCCAATGCACCAAACATCTTCAACATTTAGATAACCCGTATGTTGTTCGTTGAGTCATCCGGTTGATCCGGTCATCCCGCCTAGCGGAATTCAGCAAACCCATTGCCTGGCCAGAGCTGTTGGAGTTTCGGTGACTGGGCTGCGATCAACTTTGCCCATCAAAACAATTTCATTTCACTCCTCCAAGAAGAATTGGCAAACATATACTATAATATACCTTTTTCGGGATGTAGAAACACTTTCGAGGTATAACCAACTATAAAAAATCACCAATCATCGGTCATATTGCCACAATCGCCTTAGTTCAAACCACTTAGCGTGGTGGAGCCACACAGTATGGGCGTCCCAAAGATCGATTGTAACATCCATGGCCGCTGACATTTGCTGGTTTTGTGCCTGTAAAATCATCGATATAGGGAAAATCCACACCTTCATACATCAAATAGTTGTCAAGTGACCCACGGATGCCAGGAAATCAGCCAGGTGCACCAAATTGGCTTGTTTCTTTTGCAAGGAAATGGCTCCATCGTCCACGATCTCTTTGATCTAAGCGGCCGAAAAAATATGGCAACGACGGGTCAGGTGGTCCATTCTGCCAGAGAACCGGTCCTTCCAATGCCTCCTACACAATGTCAGAACTGTTCCAGAGTCATGCTCTGGTAATAAGCGGAATCCAAGGTGAAAAGTTGGGAAGTCACCATCTTTAACAAACAACATCCATAAGTTGGATTCAATGGATGGATTTCTGTTGGCCAACCAGTTTCGATTCGACCATTTTGAGGTCCAGGCCAGAGGCCTCTTGGAGGAAGTGGCTGAAGTCCTGGGAATGAGGACAACAAGCAGCTTTGTTGGGTGATGCGTTATCTATACCATATGATAAATAACCAAGACTGAGACATTGTTATATATAAATATTATATAAATATATAATATAATATTATATTTATATGATATCATATGAACCTGGGTCCTATGTTGACTTCTTTTTTGTTTGGGTGGTGTGTTGTTTCTTGCATCTGCATGTATTTACCCCAAACTGGGACATTTGGGCTTGTCTGGAAATGGAATATATTATACGGTTTACCCCTAAATGGCCAATTAATACCTTTTTTCGCGACAACCCCATTCAATGAACTACCAACCACTGAAATGTTGGACCAGAATAAACTTGAATAAACATAATAAACCAGCTATTTACCAGCTATTCTAGACCAAGAACTTAAGCACCGCATCGGCAAATGGCTTGCAGCTCCTCACTAGCACGTTGCCTTTGGAGTCCGACAAGCTCGCCTCAGGCTGTCTCAGCTGCATGCCGAAGCATCTCCAAACAGCTCAGGGTCCAACCCATCCTTCCATCTTGCCCTCTTTGGGCCTCAGAAATCTCAGGGGCAGGAAATCTCTGAAAGTCTGATATTTTGTTCAGATACAAATAGGGCCCACTAAAATTCGATCATTCATTTTCTATACTCCCAAAAACATCGTAAGCAGTTGGGTCAGAAACCTTGGACGCAAATCCCTTTGACTATAATACTCCTCTTCCGCTCACTCGTGATCCACAGATCTGACCCATTTCTTGGGTGAAGCAACGGTGCTGACTCCAAGGTAGCAATCTTCGCACGCCTGCGGAAGTTTGCAAACACAAGTGGGGGTTGTGCACATGGGGCCCCCAATCTTATGGCAATCTTGATGGGGAACCTGATGATCAACCATGAGATTTTACGGGAGGCTATAGTCTTCAAATAAATGTAGTCCTTTTTCTCTGTGTTTCCCATGCTACAGGCGAAACTCCTGCACCAGCCAGACCCCCTTGGTGCCTCAGAGCTCCTTGCGCCCTCAGCTGCAATGGATTCATCGAATGATTCTCACCCGGGACATCAAATCTGCTCCGGAGACAGATCCAAAGCCCAGATCTGAACCCCCAAAATAACAATCGTATGGCCCTCGTATGCCCATGGTTCCCTTGGCTTTTGTGTTCATTTCCACCTTTTTCACATCACAAACCAAAAAAAACACATATCTGAGACTTTCGCTCTCCGACCAGCTCCAGGACCTGGATCCTGGCGAGAATTTGGACCATGCCGTTACCAAGACACCTTGAAATACCACATGTTTATCTGGTTGGTGGTTGACCTACCCCTCTGAAAAATATGAGTTCGTCAGTTGGGATCATTATTCCCAATATATGGAAAGTCATAAAATTCATGTTCCAAACCACCAACCAGTTATAGATATTTTTTGTGGGTTAAGATCATCAGTTCCCAGTGATTTCCCTTGCCCAAAGACCTTGAAAGCCAGGCCTGGTATGCGCCGGCAGCTGCCCAACACATTCACCTCAGATCGGAATCCGAGGTCGTCCCAGGTCCTGCCGTGTTTTCGGAAATCTGGTGGTTTTGATGTTGGAATCACTGGCAAACACGGCACCTTTCACTCTTAGTGTTGATATATACGTATATGTATATTCTATAAACTGTTTAATGCTATGTATTAATATGTATATCAATATATATATATATATACTGTCCTGCTTTTATGATAGTTGAAAAGGTGGTACTTACTGTATATTTGCATCTTTGGACACCACGGTTACTCCACCAACATTCACTACTGGTCTGAATTGGGCACCCTTAGAACATCTTAGAACGCTCGCTAGCGGTAGTGAATTGGGTCCCTTAAAACACGCGCTACCGATAGTGAATTGAGAATCCTTAGAACGCTCGCTACCGGTAGTGAATGGAAACCCTTAGAACGCTCGCTACCGGTCGTGAATTGGGAACTCTTAGAACGCTCGCTCCCGATAGTGAATTGGGAACCCTTAGAACGCTCGCTACCGGTAGTGAATTGGGAACCCTTAGACCGCTCGCTAGCGGTAGTGAATTGGGAACTCTTAGAATGCTCGCTAGCGGTAGTGAATTGGGAACCCCTAGAACGCTCGCTACCGGTAGTGAATTGGAAACCCTTAATTGGAAACCCTTACTTGGAAACCCTTACAACGCTCGCTACCGGTATAGTGAATTGGAAACCCTTAATTGGAAACCCTTAGAACGCTCGCTACCGGTAGTGAATTGGGAACCTTTAGAACGCTCGCTACCGGTAGTGAATTGGGAATTTTGTCAATGGGGAGCCCCAGAAGTTCCGTTCTTCGTTAATAATTAAATGAAACCTTGCTTATTTAAGCTAACCTTGCTTATTATAACCTTCCTTAATTAACGACTTTTACGTTAATTAAGAGAAAACCTTTGTTAATTAAGGTAAAAGTCTTTAATTAACGACTTTTATTAAGAGAGGTTGCGTTTTTTAAGCAAGGTTAGCTTATTTAAGCAACCTTGCTTAAATTTAAGCAAGGTTTTTGTTTTTTTACCTCGGTTAATTTTTTTGTTTTTTTTGATCAGCGGCTTTTTTTTGTTTTGAAGCCTGTCGTCTGTGATTGAGGTTTGGTTGGGGCAAGCCGCGACATGTCTAGAGCAATGCCTCTAGGAGTAAGAAGACTCGGAAAAGCTTTTATAGCGTCCATTTCGTCGTCGCAGGAATTCGTCATGTTTCTTCTCTTGTCTTTTTCTCGAGCGGCTACGGGCTCGTGCTCTTCGTTCCTCTTCGGCTGCTTGTTCTTTTTGTAGAACTGCTTCAGCTTCAAGATCTAGATCTTCTTCGATTTCGATCATGGGCGACGGTGCTTTATTTAAGAGCAACAAAGCTTCGGAATATTTGTTGACAAATTCGTCCATGTACTCAATGGTGCGGCATGTTGCTCTATTGATGCTTCGCATCTGATACAAGGAGGTTAAGGGTAAGAAAGACAAAATTTCGTCACACATGGCACGGCTGATACGGATAGGGTACGCCTCTATCAAATGAAGGGGACAAGCCGCCAAACGCAAAGAAACCAAATGGCAAAAACGGCTGCAATGGCAGCCGAAGTGCATGCAATCCTTCTTTGAACTGTTGCAACAAACACATGTATTTTTCTTCTTAGAGACAAAAAAGGAAATTTTCAAAATTTTTATTTTTTTAAAAATTTTCTATTTTTTTTATTTTTTTTAATTTTTTTTAAAAAATAAAAAATCATTATATATATATATATATAGTAAGAATTTTTAAAAATTAAAAAAAAAATAAAAAATAAAAAATAAAAATTTTAAAAATTCCTATTTTTTTAAAAAAATAAGATTTTTAAACATTATAAAACCTATTTTTTCATCTTTTTTTTAAACATGAAAGAAAAGGAAAAAAATCGAACTTTTAACGCAAACAGAGAAATTTGTAGGAAAAGGAAAAATAAGATACAAAAAAAAAACAAAAATAAATCAAAATCAGAAAGTATTTTGTTTGGGAACACGATCTAAGAAAAGATTAGACCTAATAAATCTAAATGGCAATGCCCTTCCCCTACACAAAGGGCAAAACTCTTCACCAGGCAAAGGGCAAGCCTCTTCACCGCCGCAAAGGGCAAGCCTCTTTGCGGCCGGAAAGGGTACACCTCTTTCCGTGATACGAGCCAATATACACGCATATCCAATCACTATTTTCCAATGCTGCCATCCTAGCAGAAAGTCATTAACTTTCTCATGTTCCTCGTTTCCAAAGAAACAAACTTTAATATGGTACACACTCCAAAAGATTCCATGACTCTATTTCGAAAACACTCCCCCACATCCACTCCATCTTTTCCATGAAACACGCTAGCAACTCAACTACTATAACCTCAACAAAGTAATTATGATCACCCAACATAAATCCAAATAGTCCGGCCAATAAACACAAAAAACAAAACATATCACCATCCAAATTTAACCTTGCTTAATTTAAGCAACCTTGCTTATCCTTAATTAAGCTAACCTTGCTTAAATAATTTAAGGCTAACCTTGCTTAATCTTAATTAACGAAGAACGGAACTTCTGGGGCCCTTAGAACGCTCGCTACCGGTAGTGAATTGGGAATTCTGTCAATGGGGAGCCCTTAGAACGCTCACTACCGGTAGTGAATTGGGAATTCTGTTAATGTGGAGCCCTTAGAACGCTCACTACCGGTAGTGATTTGGGGATTCAAAAATGTATAAAAAAATTGTGCTATTAAGATAAATAGTGTTCTAACAGGGAGTGACGGTCGCTCCCTGTTAGAACGCTCGCTACCGGTAGTGAGTGTTCTAAGGGAGGGTTGGGAAACATCGACCCAGGGATGATCTTGTGTTTTCGCCGGGGTCTTAGTGAGAAGAACGCAAGATTGATGGTGCCCCAGCGACGGAAAAACTCCACTAGAACGCTCGCTACCGGTAGTGAGTGTTCTAACAGGGAGTGACGGTCGCTCCCTGTTAGAACGCTCGCTACCGGTAGTGAGTGTTCTAAGGGTGCCACCGGAATCATCGACCCAAGGATCATCTTGTGTTTTCGCTGGGGTTGTACTGAGAAGAACGTAAGATTTAGGGTGGTCCAGCGACTCCAAAACTCCACAAGTGCAGTCGCTACCGGTAGTGAGTGTTCTAACAGGGAGTGACGGTCGCTCCCTGTTAGAACGCTCGATTTAGGGTGGTCCAGCGACGCCAAAACTCCACAAGCGCAGTCGCTACCGGTAGTGAGTGTTCTAACAGGGAGTGACGGTCGCTCCCTGTTAGAACGCTCGATTTAGGGTGGTCCAGCGACGCCAAAACTCCACAAGCGCAGTCGCTACTGGTAGCTTCATCTAGTGTGTGTGTTTTTTCTCACCGGCTGGGCCTTCACAAAAAGCGTTGACAAGGGAGTTCAAAAGACCTTCCAAAGCATTTCAATTTTCAACCATCCCATTCATTTAAACTTTGGGCTCCATTCATCTGGGGCAGTGTCCCACTATCATGGGGCTACTGGGCTTTGTTTGTCTTCCTTTTTTGACCATCTTCAACTTGTGCTAATTCCATTGGGTGTTAGTTGGGCTTACCTCCGTCTCCAGCAGTATCAACTATTCAACTAGTTTCCTGCAGAATGCTAGAGAGTGTCCTAGGGGTACCCCATTCACCTGTAGTCCTGTAGTGATCGTTTCAAGAATGCCTCGATTCGTACCAGTAGCGAATACTGGTGGGTGACCATTCTGTCCAACGATGCCTATACATTCAGTACCACCTTTTCAACTATCATAAAAACAGGTCAGTATATATATAATATATATATATATATATGCTACTATTATATATGCCCATAAAAATCACCACCCCAACCCCATCCCAAGGCTCCCGGGCTACTCAACGCCTCCCCGGTGCGCAGGGTCATGAGGCGAAGCGTCTCCAACTGCGAGCCTTTCATCACCTCGTCCAAGCGAGTGGAACGGGTCACCTGGCGCAGCCCCCATGGGTGGAAATCATGGGGATGTCATGGGGATTTATTGGGAAGAGATAGGAAATCCCAAGATATAAATCCCATATAAATCTTAGGATTATCTTGGGATAATGATGATGATAATCCCTGAAAAACCCTCTGGTTATGACTAACAGTTCGCCATGGTATAGATGGCCCTAATCGAAATAGATGGTTTACCGTTCTTTAAAATGGGTGGATATTCCAGGGCTATGTTAGTCATAACCAGAGGGTAGTTCTGGTTAATCATAGGAATCCAAAAGGGATGGCCAACAATATATGATAGAGGGATGTGGCTGACAATGAGGTATATAAGTGGGTATACGGTATGGCAATTTCAATAGGGAAAACATGGGAAAATAATGGTTGACCATATTTGAATAGTTCAATCATGCGGTTTTGAAGACACAACAACATCTGCAAGTTTGAATGGAACTGCTAAGAACATGGGGCTTTAGCCTCATTTTGTGACATTTGCTGGCAAACCTGAATCTCAATAGATAAAGATATCATTCATCCAACCCCGAGTAGCAGTTTCCCAACTGCTCTGCCACACAGTACGCTGCCACTTCACATCCAAAACTTTGACCAAACCAGCCTTGTTGGCTTGCATTCCAACCAATGCTTGGCCAACGGTGTTGCGAACCGTGATCCAACCTGGTGCAATGGAGCTTAGCCCATAAAAATCCATAAAACCACCCAGCAGTATGACTGACCAGTGACAAAGTGTTCAGCTTGGTAGATCGGTGGTTGAACCTTCTATTTTAGCTTCTCTTATTGTTCTTCATGGCCGAAAAGAGTCTCGGAAACTGCCACAAATGATCGCAAATGCCAAGAAAACCATGAACCCTTATCTTCCCTTCATGGATAATATATATATATATATATATAATATTTATAGGTGTCACGACCAAGGCCGGAAAGCACCGTTTCACCACCACCCGCAAAGCAAAACCCAAGCAGCCGCGCCTTGCATCGAAGTGGATTTCACTTCGGCTCGCAGCAGTTCTCCTGGTTTGGCATCTGAGAGCTGGAGCACCTGCCAGGAGATCTTGACCGATAGGGATTGGGGCTATGGTGGTAAACCATGGTAAACCCAACGAGAATCTGATAACGACAATACTTACATACATACATATATATATATATGTACGGCAGGGGGAGGAGGTTCCCCGAGAGGACGTCAATCAGGATCATTGAATTGGAGAAAAAACAGTGTTTCACTGTGGTAAAATGGAGATTTTTCATGTTGTTCTTTTCATTGTTAATGTCTTTCAATTACGGATCAATTTTTTTTCGTCCGTCGAAGTTGAAGTCAATTATGGACCATCACAATATGTTTTTTTTGGTGTTCTTATTTTCTCCATTGGAATAACGAGGTGCACATTTTGTGCTATATCAAAGATCATTGGAAAAGGGTATAATATACTGTGTTTCCACAGGTATTTTGATGTGATGTTGTTTTCATTGGTAATTCACAGTGATTTTGCATATCATCAAAATTTCCGAGTGCTGTGAGTCAGCTGTTTTTCTGTTTTTATACAAAAGCATTAGTACAAGACATATCAACCACTATAGAAGGCACAAACCAGGCTGCCGGCAACTTTTCATTGCCAACTCCTTGAAGCGCGCGAGTGCATTCAAGACACTTTCCAAACCAAGCTTTTTGCTTACATAGTGCACTGCTAGAATGTTGCGATGTTTACACCCCACCCCTTCACGCAAGTTACATGAACGTTTTTACACCCCACCTCTTCACGCAAGTTACATGAACGTTATTACACCCCACCCCACCCCAGCCCACCCCTTCCCCCCGCATGACTCATGCATGACAAGTACAAGAGAACTTACACTAGCGTAGCATGACGTATGCGTGACAAGTACAAGATAACTTACACTAGCGTAGCATGACGTAGACGTCACAATTACAAGAAAACTTACACTAGCGTAACATGGCATATGCCTGAGAAGTACATAACATGACTTTAGAATGACCGTAACATCCACGTAGCATGCACGTCGCCTCCAATTCTACGCAAGTTACATGAATGTTTTTACACCCCACCCCACCCCACCCCACCGGTTGACTTCTGCTTCGGTAAACCATGGCTCGTAAACTATGGATCGTAAACCATGGCTCGTAAACCATGGCTCGTAAACTATGGATCGTAAACCATGACTCATAAACCATGGCTCGTAAACCATGATTCGTAAACCAAGACGGCCATGACTCGTAAACCATGGCTCGTAAACTATGGATCGTAAACCAAGATCCGTAAACTATGCTCCGTCAACTATGCTTCGCGCCACAACGGCGTGCACTTTTTCGACATCTCAACTGCCAAAAATGGTCCGGACCTGGTGTGTTTTGTACATGTTGACTTCAACATGTGCTTCGCGCCACAACGGCGTGCACTTTTTCGACATCTCAACTGCCAAAAGTGGTCCGGACCTGGTCTGTTTTGTACATTTTGACTTCGAAATGTGCTTCGCGCCACAACGGCGTGCAATTGTTCATCTCTCATCTCCCCAGATGTCTCCGCATCCGCCGCTTTAGCGAGCCTACTTTTCAACCCTCCGGAGCCACAAAACCACCAAAAAACACAGTGTTCGCGACTTTCCTACCTTTTCGCGCACCTGCATCTTCTTTCTTCTGACTCTTTCTCTTCTGATCTTCTCTCTTCTAATCTTTCTCTTCTCTCTGCCTAATCTGTCCATATTGTCGGAAGTTTGACTTCTAAACTTCCTTCGATGATGTGTAAGATGAGACTGTGCATGTACTTGCCAGAGGGGGTGGGATTTTGATATGACGTGGAAGATGAGAATGTGCATGTACTTGCCAGAGGGGGTGGGATTTTGATATGACGTGTAAAATGTGGCTGTGCTTGTAATTGCCAGAGGGGGTGGGATTTTGATATGACGTGTAAGGTGAGACTGTGCATGTACTTGCCACAGGGGGTGGGATTTTGATATGACGTGTAAGATGAGACTGTGCATGTACTTGCCAGAGGGGGTGGGATTTTGAGATTACGTGTAAGATGAGACTGTGCATGTACTTGCCAGAGGGGGTGGGATTTTGATATGACGTGGAAGATGAGACCGTGCATGTAGTTGCCAGAGGGGGTGGGATTTTGATATGATGTGTAAGATGAGACTGTGCATGTACTTGCCAGAGGGGGTGGGATTTTGATATGACGTGTAAAATGTGGCTGTGCTTGTAATTGCCAGAGGGGGTGGGATTTTGATATGACGTGTAAGGTGAGACGTGTGCATGTACTTGCCAGAGGGGGTGGGATTTTGATATGACGTGTAAGATGAGACTGTGCATGTACTTGCCAGAGGGGGTGGGATTTTGAGATTACGTGTAAGATGAGACTGTGCATGTACTTGCCAGAGGGGGTGGGATTTTGATATGACGTGGAAGATGAGACTGTGCATGTAGTTGCCAGAGGGGGTGGGATTTTGATATGATGTGTAAGATGAGACTGTGCATGTACTTGCCAGAGGGGGTGGGATTTTGATATGATGTGTAAGATGAGACTGTGCATGTACTTGCCAGAGGGGGTGGGATTTTGATATGACGTGTAAGGTGAGACTGTGCATGTACTTGCCACAGGGGGTGGGATTTTGATATGACGTGTAAGATGAGACTGTGCATGTACTTGCCAGAGGGGGTGGGATTTTGAGATTACGTGTAAGATGAGACTGTGCATGTACTTGCCAGAGGGGGTGGGATTATGATATTACGTGGAAGATGAGACTGTGCATGTAGTTGCCAGAGGGGGTGGGATTTTGATATGATGTGTAAGATGAGACTGTGCATGTACTTGCCAGAGGGGGTGGGATTTTGATATGATGTGTAAGATGAGAATGTGCATGTACTTGCCAGAGGGGGTGGGATTTTGATATGACGTGGAAGATGAGACTGTGCATGTAGTTGCCAGAGGGGGTGGGGTTTTGATATGATGTGTAAGATTAGACTGTGCACGTACTTGCCACAGGGGGTGGGATTTTGATATGACGTGGAAGATGAGACTGTGCATGTACTTGCCAGAGGGGGTGGGATTTTGAGATTACGTGTAAGATGAGACTGTGCATGTACTTGCCAGAGGGGGTGGGATTTTGATATGACGTGGAAGATGAGACTGTGCATGTAGTTGCCAGAGGGGGTGGGATTTTGATATGATGTGTAAGATGAGACTGTGCATGTACTTGCCAGAGGAGGTGGGTTTTGGTTGCTGAGGTTTGGTTGCTGAAGCGAGAGTAGATTTTGGTTGCTGAGCCGTAGTTGCTGAAGCGAGAGTTAGTTTTGGTTGCTGAAGCGTAGTTGCTGAAGCGTAGTTGCTGAAGCGTAGTTGCTGAAGCGAGAACCTAGTTTGGTTGCTGAGCCGTGGTTGCTGAGCCGTGGTTGCTGAGCCGTGGTTGCTGAGCCGTGGTTGCTGAGCCGTGGTTGCTGAGCCGTGGTTGCTGAGCCGTGGTTGCTGAGCCGTAGTTGCTGAGCCGTAGTTGCTGAAGCGGAGTTTAATCCCACCCCACCCCTTCACGCAAGTTACATGAACGTTATTACACCCCACCCCACCCCACCCCACCCACCCTTCCCCCCCTCGGGGAACCCCCGCCCCCAAGGGTATATGTATATATGCATATACACATATATATATATATTAAAATAATGATAAGATATAATTAATGACGATAATACACATACTAGTGAAAACAATGATAACAAAATATAACAAACTCAATGATACGAATAATCTAGTAGTAATTAACAATTAATAATCTATATAATAGTGTCAACATATGTATTAACAATATAACAATAGCTCCCTTGGATGGTTTAAGTCATGATCTTTCCCTTGGTGACATCCAGCCTGGAGAGGGCTCCCTGCACTGAAGTGGCCCAGGATTTTGCTGGACAAACAATCTTCTTCTCTAACCGTCACCTCAGGTGTCAGGTAACCTGGGTGACCTGTGTGACCTGGGACTTTCGGCGCAGAAATTCATGGATATGGCACTGTCCCAAAAACTTGCCCAAGAAAATAAACCAACATCCAACAAATTCGACATCATTTCCAAGAAATTCCACCAGAATCCACCATTTGGTGTTGAGATATCCAGGTGATATCCAGGTGATATCCCAACAAAATCACAACAAGTTTTCTCCAAGCCCCCGAGCCATGGCCAAGGTCACACAAGAGGAGCCCTGTGGAGGTTAGCTCCACTTGGTGCCACTGTGCCATGATCATGCTTGGACAGATACTGATGGATATTGACAATAGCTATCCAAGGTCATGATAGATTAATATATTATGATATTATATATATATATATATATCCACCAGTATCTATATGATATTAATATATTAATATCTAATAATATAATGGATATATCTATATGAAACATGATATTAAGCTAACCATCCAGGATCAATCCATATGATATGAGTGAATTAAATGGTCATCATTACATGGAATACAATGATATGTCATCGTCAAATGCCAAAAGAGCAGATGGATTTATGATACTCCCCAATATAACATACATATTACATCATAGTACATATATGTAATATGTATGACAAACACAATATATAATATTGAGAATAACAATGACCCCCGAACTCATCAGCCAACAAGACATGTTCACGCAACACTTCCAGCACCTGCGTCAGAAGCTTTTCCAGTTCCATGGTGCCTCTTGAGGCGTCGTTGCCGTCGATTCATCAGGAAACTTGCTGGTCTTTCCCATATTAATTCCCATATAATTTAAATATGATCCTATTCGAATAGATAACTCTGGATATTGGATGAATTCGGACCTCTCTGTTCTCCATAATTTTCATGAATTTTCCATGTTTGATCCATATCGACCACTTTCCTGGCAGCCCACCTGGACTCTCCACTGGAGCCATTGCTGTTGACGTCTTGCTGTGATGTGAAGAGATGTCGATGTCCAGTGGTGTAAACCAACAAATGCCATGGCAGCATCCTTTCAAGTGAACAAATTGTTGTGGATGCTGCCACGGAATTTGATCAGGTAAGAAAAAAGTAATCATAGCCTGGCTGAAGGGATGCCAAATTTGGGTTTCGTATGTTCTGACATGGCCAACCTAACAGCTGCAACGAATCAGAAGGGTTGATCCATTCTTCAACAAAGCACATCTTTGCAGCAAAACATCTAATAGATGATATAACATGATTAAATATCTAAATTATCTATATTATATATATACATTGTCTCAATTACGCGAAATGGACCAACAAGCTTTCACGTGCTTGCCCATGATTCACCCGTTTTTTCAGGATAGCATCCACCGGAAGTCGTCCTAGAGTCGAGCTTCCAAGTTGGCATCAACATCTGCAGGTTGTGGAAGTGGCTACTACTTTGATGTAGTCAGGCCACCATCCTTCAAACTTTCCGATGAAGCACGGCATGTGTTGGTTTTGGATCTACTCGATCCACTCCACCCAGTCAAGCGCCGAAGAACTTTCGGCGCGTGTACTCGTTCAGGCTCACATTTGGCTCAAGATTGAAGGTGAAGATAGCGTTCACCCGACAAACTTCGGTGGTGTTCTGGGAAACACAATGCAAACTCCGCTTTCCGGCAAACAGGTACAGGGTCCCAGGTTTCAAGTCCGGAACGATCATTGGCTTCAAGCCCGCCGCATCTGTCGGTCCATCCAAGATGGATAGATCGAAGTCGGGATGTGCATCCAGAAATGTCCGTGAGTCGGGAATGTACATGAAGGCACCTGGCTTTGAATTTCCGTCACGCTTGCATTCTCTCAGGATCAAATTCACTGAGTACCTGGGGGCTGCAGTGGGAAAAAACATCAATAAATTTCTAGATTCCTGAGCTCTCTTGGCAAAAATACTTTCTAAAAGTTGATTATATCAAACTTGTCCATTTCTGAACTAAGAAAAACACTAAAGCACTATAAAAATCTATAAAATACTTGCTGATGCACTTCTATTAAGACACTCTGAGCGATCAAAGTGCCACCCTAGCTGATCCCCCTTCTCGAAAAAGTTCAAGTAAACTCCGCCCAATGGATCTGCAGAGCAAAACAACTTCTCCAAGCCAAAGGCCTCTTGAAGCAGCTGTCTCAAACCATCCCAGTGGAACAGCTCAACGAGTTCCGGACAACCTTCAGCCAATTCTGCTTGATTGATCAAGACCTTTGAACTGCTAAAGGATGCAGAGCGGATTCGACTTACATCCGCTTTCTCCTCCAGATACACATTGTGTTCTTCGAAGGATCTGAATCCGCAACCAGGTCGTTTTTTCAGCTGCTCCGCTGAACACAAGATCTTTCGGACGGCTTCGGGTTGCAGAAATCCAGGGATTTCGCAGATGCCCTTGGTGAGAATCTCTTGACGACACACAGCCCTGGCGGCCGAATAGGCGGCTCGATTCACACAACCTGGAAGCATCTGGAATGTGGAACCACCCAGGATTACTTTGAATCCATTTGAATCCTGAGGTTTCTTTGAACAGAATGATCACAAACAGATCTGGAGAGTGAAAAACACGCGTTTGCCACCAGGTTGTCTGCGGGTGTACATGCAACAAGGACTTGTCAGGAGCTTATCATCTCTATATCGGAACTGTTTATGAACTTGTAAGGGGAGTTTCAAGAAAATGGTTATCTATAAACCAACGGTTTCCCCATTCAACTTGACAACTCTTGACTCTTGGCTTCGGTCCTCCCATTTGGAGAACCCCCTTTCCCATCAAACACCAGGGATTCCCTGACACATGTTCTGCATAAACCAGTCCACCGAATTGACCGAACTGACATGGTCTGGCACTCTGTATGGGTGAAAATTGTCCACCAAAAAATGCATGGTCTAAGACTAAGAATAGAAAATCCAAGAAATATCAAGAAATGATCCATTCTCTGGGTCCAATATGATCCAATAGTACCTACATTTTGAACCACACGATCATCGATCGACGGTGCGTTTTCCCGCAGCTCTGCTGATCTGCTGAGTCCAGATCTTTGCCAAACCTTGGTGGTGGCTCCACGTGATGTGGCACGGATGTTTTTTTTTTGGATTGCTATACTACTTTAAGCTCTGTGATCTTATGATTGTTTATGGCTATAGCATTTTGCTGCATTATCATGTGAAGTTTACCTATTATATACCTAATATATCATCCTATATCATCTATACTGAATCTTCAAACGCCTGGTGAAGCGTTGGAAATCTTCCGAGGAATTGGCTCTCTCGCAGGGACGCCACCAGCAGCACGGTGGAATGCCTTGGATCATCTTGGATCCAGCAATGCCCAGGAAAAACGGTTGCCACATGTTGCCACCAGTCAGAAAAAACCATCTGAAAACTTCCCCTTCTGAAAATCGATGAAAATCACTGACATGTCTCGATGATCTGGAAATATGTTTGGCAACCGTACCTGTGGACATGCGGAAAATGACCTGTAGAACTCACTGAAACCGGATCCAGGGTGCAGTGAGGAGTTTTGCCATCGCAGTTCGAAGTCATAGCCTTCACAAGTCACAAGTCACCAAGCAAACCATAGATATATGATGTATGTGATATGATGATATGAAACGTATAGTGGTGACATAGTAATGGATAGTCATGCTGACATATGTGCATGTTTGTGAACAGAGAAACTTGCATGCATCCAACTACACACCCTCGAAACCTCTTCCCAGTGTGCGCTTGATTCCGTTGATCTCTTTGGGTATCGTCATCACCTGAAATCCGCAAGTGCATGAAGTCTCCAAGTTTCCAATCAATCCTCAAACACCACTGCAAGCGTCTGGCACCTGGGTTGCTAGGCTTCTGGCTGCCACGGTGTGAATCAATTGCTTCTCAAAGAGAGGTCTACCGCCCTGCCCATTTTTTCGCGAATCTGAGCTATGACAGCTATGACCCTCGTGATGGAAGACCTGGCTCCGACAAACGCTCGGCATCTCCGCAGGTCTCGCATATTTGTCGCGCCTTCAAGATGAAGTGCAGTGGACCACTCATTTGACTCATCCACAGCAGGATGCGACCCTGAGTCGACTTTTTGCATCACAAAAAAAAGGTGTGGTTTCCGCTGGTTTCCAAGCTGCAATCATGATTTGGAGAGGGTGGGTTCAACATGTTCAACCCCCATGGAAAGTAGCATGTGGACACAAACATGATCATCATCCCAGGTAAGGATGGTAGCCTCCGAGCCAAAGGGATATTCCTCAGCCAGGGTCCGGCAGGCCTGTCATGCGAAGAACCGATCTCTTTAAAGATGAGATCTACAGATCTACCTTTTCCAACTGTGGTTTTTGTATGGGTATGGGTCATTTGACCCTGTAGTCTAGGGGAACTTCAATGATATATGGTATACTTTCTGGTTGTTCAACAATATGTTCACCCCCTTGGCCATGATGATGTTTAAAAGCTATCAATCCATAGCCACATCAACAAGTGCCACCGCCATGCACAATGGCCTGGCAGCCTTCACACTCCCCTTGAGTGTTGACCATGCACACGGCATGTGCCTGCAGAAACGATGCAGAAACGATGTCTGTATGGAGATATGGAGATCTTGTGGCTCTGTGTCTGTGGAAGATATCTTAACCCTTCGCAACTTGCGGTCATTTTTGGAAACAACATGAAACCATGCTTTCAGCAATATCAGCAATACTTTCAACAATAGCAGGCACACCATGTGTGACATAGTGTGACCAGTGCAACTGAAAACTGCCAAGGAATTTGGGAGCCTCCACACTCAAATTTGACAAAGCTGCAGTCCTCCCCGAGGGCAACGGATGGATGCAAAACTGACCAGCATTGGACTAGGACATATGCACATAATCGCACATAGATGCAGTGGAAATGCCAAAGGTGAATACTGTAATACATTTAGATTCCTGTTGTATGCATCCGTCTTGTCAATTCTCCAGATTTCTGTCTTTGCCATTGAGTGTCATGTTCCGAATATCATGCACCTGATTTTACAAATTGTGCAAATTGTACGGGTTGGTTGTAACAAGAAAACAAATACCATGACAGCAATACGAAGCAAATCAGGACCGATGTTTTTCTTCTGAGCCGACTTTGAGTCCACGCCAATCCAGGATCAGAATATTTAGAATGAAACACTGACACACGAATTGAAGCGTCTACAGCCTCAGCATTGAACAGGTGAAATCTGGGTAGAGTCTAGTAGAGGCCAACATTGGGCACCCAAACATTAGATAATTTATACACAACATGACCAAACACTGTGGATCACAAAATCTTCAATATGACCTATCCCCACCTCGGAACCTGCCCACGACCACAACACTCTCCTTTCCAAAGCACGGATATTGGACCAGCTCTTGTCATATGCCACAACTCGCACCTGGCTCTGCAACCATTGGGAGATCAAATTAGAAGACATTGGGACGCACTGATTCTAGTGATATTGAAAAGATTGGATCAGTAACATCTGTAATAATCATACCATATTTTCAGGGCGCCCAGTTCTCAGTTCTTATCCAGTCATGCTTGATCCCAAAATAGAACCAACATGTTCAAATCAAGACCTTTATCTGAATTCTGAACCCATCTAGTTCTGAGAAAATCTGAGCTGGCAGTGCCGGTGCCCCCACCCGTCCCTGAAACCAATGCGATCTCTCGCCTCTGGAAACTCATTCGCAGCTGCTGCGGCGCAGGCTCCAAACCTCAGCATAATACAGTGGTGGTGACTCCGTGGCCAATCAATGGATTGGTTTAAGGGAAAATTGACTGGAAAACCTATGTTTTTTACCATTTGATCTGAGGGATTTCCCAGTTTGCTGTCAATGTTCAACTTCAACCAAGTCTGATAAACTGATTGAGTACACTGATCTTTTTGGGTTCTCTCATATATACCTGGATTATACATAAGTATATATAAGTTGTAAGGCATGGCCATGAGCCAGTGGAATGCACATCCAAGTCTCGCCACCGCCAGGTCCCCAGCATAGATCCCACGTCAACCATGCAGCCGATGTCCCTCTCTTTAATCATGTCCTGGCAAGAAAGAGCTCCGTCCGATGTACTGCGGATGTATTGTCCATGGATAAACCCCAAATCCAATGGTGGTATAATGTTATATAGTGTATGTATATATATATATATAATGATATATAATGTTGTTAGATCCAATGGTTATATATATAATTTGATGTATAACCTTCATATTTCCACATCAACATGACCACTATAAGTGGGGTGTACCATGCTATAGCCATGTTTAAGACCCCTCCGACCATCTCCGATCCATCTGGTCGGAGAATTCTTGGGAGGTGGAGACCAAACACCAACATATCTGGCTGCTGGAATTCAATTCAAGTAACACCGTATTTTAAACCAACTACTAGCTATATATTCATGTGGCAAGTATTACCATAAATATCATAAATGGATGATAATCATCACCAAATGGTAGTTGCTGATTTTTTGGGATTACCGCATTACTTGATCTTGGCCAATTGGCCCCAACTGCTGGGCCCATCGCCTGCAGCTCCTGGCATCCAGGGCTACCTTGTTGTGGCCGCGCAACCAAAGTGCCGCGTATCCTGCCAGCCACGAAACAAGCAGTTTGCAAAAGACTCATCTTGAGTCCTCAAAAAGTATCAAAAAGACTGATAAGCAAACCTTATCCAAGTTTCATTATTCCAAAATCTTGTGTCTACCTGAGTCTACCTGTACAACTCATTTCATCCAACGAATTTCTCACAGTTCTCCGCATTCCCACCTCGCAGCAGTGGCGGCTGCCAGATCATGTCTCCATAACGAGGGAATGCACAGCTGAAGCCCTGCCCATATTGAGGTGGGCAACAGCAAGCGATCCAACAGCGTGAGTACCTTAGGGGCGCCAAGATGGATGAGATAAGTTAGTTTGGAAATTCCAAACGTCCCTGAAGCATCCTGAAGCCTACTGGTTGTTGATGGGTTTTCCCATTCAAATGGAATGGGACATGGGAATTACTTTTTATCATTTTACGGGTCGCCCAAATTTGGTGTCATAGGCATATATCTACCATCTGGGTTTCAAGCCGGGAGTGGAATCTCAGTGCTGCACTGGAAATGGATGGAAGATCAAATCATGAAGTCTTGGTACCTTGCGCAGAACTGTGCACATGGGAGACCCATAACATCGTGACGTCACTGCTATGTTGATGCTCCTGCAAGCTTGCAATTACCAGATTGGGGGATTACTACACTTCCCTTTCCCGAACAATGCAAAGCATATTTCCAGAACCAGTGCGCATGTTATCAGCAACTTACAACCAGAATGCCTTGCCCACCATGTCTGCCACCACATCAGACACTTCATCCAGTGCAAACGACCTGGCCATCCACTTTGAAGTCTTTTGGAGGAAATAAAGTCATGTGGTGCACCCCTTAACAAACCATCCCCATTTTTTGTGTACCAGGCATGGGTCTATGTTTCGTACCACGTATCGTATTGCTGGTACAATCAGCACCCCGAGGCTCCGACTGGCAAGAAGGCATCGTGAGGTCATCGTGACGAAGCTGCGCCTTCGTACAAGCGGTGGGGTGCCGTCATCAACTTTGGGATCCCACAAAACTGTGGGAATAATGATGAATCTATTTTTCCCATAGTGGCAAATGCAAAAAACAACTTGTCAACTACAATGATGATCAAACATATGGAATTAAATATATTTAAATATCAATTATCAATTGATTCATAAACAAAAATAGTATGAAATCATATGAAATCAATATCTTTAACACTTGGCACCCATGGCAGATTGGGAATGAACATCTTCAACAGCTAAGTAGATTTGAAGCAATGGCACCTGCACCAGCTGCCTCACTCCTCGTAGCTTGGGAGAGACTTCTGCGCAAAGCTCTCGGAGCTGCCGTTCCACATCTGGGCGGATGGATTGGGCAGCTTGGCAGCACATCACCAACCCAAACAACACAAACTGCCATGAAACATGGGAAAAAAACCAGCTTTCAGGAGATTTGAGTCTGTGTTTGTTCATGCTTCCTAAATGTATAACTTATGTCAAGGAAAAACACAGCAAACCGATGTTGTCAATGCCAGCCTTCGTCGTGGTGCGTAGCCGTCCATCCTGCCACAGATGGGTCATGCCACCCATGACATGAGGTGATGAACAAGCAGCACCCGCCAGCGACCTTCAACATGTTTCAACAAAAAGGTGGGGATGAACATCCCTAACCACCAGTGACCACCAGCTATCTTGATTTTCACCAGTAGACCAGGGTTTTGATTTGATCCATACCCACATGATGCCGCATCACACCTGTGCCAGCACATCAGCGTCGCACCTTCTGCATGCTGCTGATAAAGGGTTTCAAAGGAGCAGCATGTTTCCACAGAAGCCGGAAAAATCTGGCAGGATGCACTGCTGAACAGCACAGGACTGGTGCAACATTTACAGCCTGAGACACAACATTGGCAAATCTATGGGACTGCAATTGTCTCAAAGACTTTGGTGTGCGAACGCTCACAGGTTCAAGGATGGCAAGTGGGCCTCCCATCCGCTTTGGCATCTTTCCATAGCGCCTCTTGCTCCTTGCATTTGGGAATCCTACCACCCTACGGACCCTACGCATCCAATTCCTCGAAACTGCTGTCCTCGATCAAAGTCACCGGGGGCTCAAAGAACAGGTAGAGGGCCTTCTCCCATGATCATCACACCACTTTTCTAACTGCCATGCCATGCCATGTCCAGGAACTTACCTCTAACGTCCCAAAATCAAATGACAGGAGTGTGACTTTCTGTTGAAACTTCAAGGCCTGTCAATCCCTCCATTTCAGGCGCCTTTGCGAGGTTTAGCAATGGCCAACCACTCACTGCAATCTGCCGCCAGCTGAAAATTCTCCTGGGTCGGGTGCAAGGTTCAGCAAACAGAATCATTGAATCAATCCTTGCAGCTCTTGATTTTTTTGCGCAACACTCCCCCAGGCCCATTGTTGGCGCTCACAGTTAATAGCCTAAAATCAAAAGAACGGAAACAAAAAACGACTTTTCATAATAGAAATGGCAACATGAATCATATCCGAAGGCTACAATGAAAAACCGAGATTCTAAGGTGTTCACTAACTCAATTGGATTTGGAGTAGACATGGCAAGTGTTTGACTTGAACCTACTGTTTCATGGCTAAAGAAGAAACATTCTTCGAGGGCTCAGTAGAAGTCACCAGCCAGTTGTCGAGCCATCCGCAAAAATAGATCTCTGCGACTTTGCCCAATGCATCATAATCCATATATCCCATGGTTTATCAAAATTTCCCCACCCCAAGAAATACTTAATACTATATATATATATAACTATGACTAATCACAATGTATGTTCTTAACCAGTATACTATTTCATAGCCAAATCTTGGTTTCTCCCCAGTTTTTCAGCAATCTGCCAACATTTTTAAGCCTAGGCTCAGAGCAATCTGCATCATTCCCCAGGTGGATTGCGCGTGCGTCAGCTCGCGAAAGTCCAAGGCCACCTGTTTTTTGGGCTGATCTGCAAGGGATTTCACCCATGAAAATAACTCGTTTTATCATGTTTTATCATGTTTTATCATGTTTTATCTCCTTAATGGTATCTATTTGATCTCCGGAATTCTGTGACCTCCCAAAAAAAAGCTAGCCCCCCAAAGACATCCAATAAATGTAGATATAGAATTTTCGTCCCTGGTCAAATTGCAACTTTGGGGTGTAAATGTGTGTGTGCATGATGTTTTTGGACATTCATATATTTTCCGGAGATTTTGAAAGTCGTGATCTTGACTCAGCAACTTGCTCTAGTGAAAGCTATTCCTGGTAATCATCAACCAGCAGGGCACCTTATTGTTCTGCGTCCATTGAGATTCGACTTCCTCGGTTTTTCGATCAGAAACCCATTCACCAACCTCAAGGTTCGGCCACTTGGGGATGATTCCGCTTCTTAACCATCCTTCAAATATCTTTACTAAGCCTTATTAGGGATTATCCAGGATGAACTGCTGCAAGCTATTGGACTTGCTTCTGAGAATCGTGGAAGAAAAGGCGGAGAGACAGGATGCCCAACGGGTCCTGCAAAAAACGAAACTGTACGGTGAAAAGAGGGTCTGCAGTTGTTGCAGGTTTATTTGAAAACTGTTTCATCTTCATCTTGGCTTGCTTAGGTTGATGTCGTTTCTCAAAGGATTCTCACATCACTTCATCAAGCTTCAAATTATCTCGGGCATGCAAAGGCAATGCCTTGCCCGCAAGTGCGACCTGGTATTTCCTCACAACTTGAGCATTTGAAGGAGACTTTTCTAACAGCAAACGATGTGCAACGACTTTGGATTGCAAACTTTGGCAATCCGCAGCTTCACCCATCAGAGAAAGGCCACTTTGCTCCTTAGAAATCAGGACACTACAGTAGCACATCCCCATGCCACAAGCTGTGCACATAAGTTCACATCCTTCCAAATTCTCATGACAATCGCATGTTTCTGCCATAGCAATGAATGATGACAAGGGCTCACTGGAAGTCTTGCGGCACTAGCTTCTGGCCACTCCTAGCGGAGTTCGGACTTCACCGTGAATGTTGAGAATTTTCAATGCTACCAAAATTTTTAAAAGGGATGCAATTCGCTCTTTCACATACTGCAATGGTTCAACAAAAAACATGTACCCCTCTGTGGGCGGGTTTGAAGATCTTATGACGGCAAAAACTGAGCCTGTCAGCTTCAAGTCAAGTAAACCCTCTTCAAAAGTTGCACAGGATCCCCCAGAAGAAACATATTGCGTGCATTTCCTCCACCATTCTCCACCCACACACGTCTTATTTTCTTATATAGATATAGATCTATCAATATCAATATCATACATATATATACATAAAAAAACAATATACATAAAAATAATAACAACAATAAGAAAAATAACAACTATAGATATCTGTAGTAACAGTACCAGTATCAATATGTTTGGGCCATCAATATTACATCAATATCATATGTTTGGAGCTTGGATGATACAGAATTCTGCTCCTTGCAATCACCTCCATGGAGCTTCACTGTGCAGGCCACCTGAGCAAAGTTTCGGCCCAGCCATTTGCTTGTTAAATTGGTCGATCTTTCACGGGTTTTATTATATTTATTTAAAAACATATAATTCTATAATATTATATCAATAATATGTAGTACTCATCAACTACTACCAGATTTGTGTTTGGGATCAAAACCTCAACTTGTACTGGGGCGAAAGTCTGACTGCAAGAAGAACAACGCTTATAGTTGGTTTGTTGTGAAGGCTTGTGGTGGAGAAAGACCCATCACCCACAAAGACATTTCACTCACTAATCACTAGGACCACGGCCCAAAAATGGAAACGCGATCTGCCAAGGCTACAAAAACAATGCCCACCATGTTATGATGAAGTTAGGATACAGTTTTGTATGATATCCCCATTGTTTGATTGGTAAACTCCCGATGTCATCTATGGTAAGCTGCTTGGATGTGCATCCAAGTTACTACAAGTGTTTATCCGTTTATATCCCACACACACACAAACCATATTCTATATAATATAATATATATCTATATATCAAAACTGGCTTAGAATAAGATTCTTACCCACTATAACTTAGATGTCCCTGACAAGTTACCAAACATGTTTCACCATCCGTCACACCAACAACATCCACACCTCGCCGGGAGGATCGGCACAGGCATCGCAATGCTCGCCCGGTTTGCATTCGGCTGGTGGGGTGCCCAGCATATACCTCGAGACTGCGGCGTTGCAGGTGGGGATAAGAAAATGGGTGTAACCATGGGATTTTTACATATTTAACTATTTAACTGCCTAGGAAACAATGAAAACATCGGCAAAGCTTCTCCTTGCTGGAATTGTTGGACTCCAATAGGTACTTTTTGTGGACGGTTTGGTTCGGAAAGCTTCTCTTGAAAGGATTGGGTCGACAGAATCTGAAGTGCACTCTTGAGCCTGGTGCATCACTTCCCAGCCGGGAGACTTGTAGGTATGCCATCCAGTTCCAGCTGCTGGTGAGAAGTAGTACATCACTCCGCAGTCCTCCCAGGAGCACCCTGCACGGCTATGTCTTCACTACAAAAGCATCCGATTTCCAAATGCAAATGTGGCAAAAACAAATGGGTGGCGACTGGTGGGTATCCATTAAAATCGCTGAAATCTGACCAAGTGATAGTACATTTCAATTCCATCCAATTCCACCTATACCTCATGTACCTCATGTCACAGTGCGTTCAATGCTCCAGCATTGCTTCAGATGCCAAGCGCAACAAAAACTGCATCGCTGCATCTGCTCCTTGGTCCAATGTAGAGTTGGCTCTGTAGTATCGCACACATAGTCGAAGCCATTGCTACCTCAGTATCTGAATCTGCTAGGGGAGAAAGTTTTAAAGTTGGGTAGCAATCACAAATGCGCCAGCGTGTTATACCCCGCAGCTGTATCAGAAAGCCGAACCAAACCATCTTCTCTCCGATTCAAAACGATTTCAAGTGCCATGGCAAAATAGACGGGAGAGTGCGCATCAATTAGTATAATGAAACGGCAAATTCAATCCATATCTTGCCATGGTAGATCTGGTAGACCACAGATCCATCACTACCATCCCATACCATCCCAATAGGTAGAGAAAACATGAGAACACCATCCAAGGGGCAGAATTCATGAAAATCTCTGCTGCAATGTGCTCCACCTTCCAGGTCGGTGCCACACTTCTAGAATCATAAGTTATCATAAGGTTTTTTGCCACGGCCAACTCACTTCAACAATCTTCAACAGATCCTGGTGATAATTTTGAATGCACAATTTGGAGGTTCAGATCCTCCCAAAGTCGCCAAAACGCCACATCTTCAAAAAGGAAAACGATCCAACAGTGATGCGACAGCGCCCGGGTGCCTTTGTGGTGCTGCACATGTTGATGTCCCATCAAGAAATCCTAGAGTCAGCTATCATCGAGTTCCAACAACCTTTCTCATAGGCAGGACCACTACAAACACCGTGGATGTTGACAAAATCTGGTTCCGAAAGCACCTGCTGGAAAAACTCATCTCATTTCCCAAAGATTCCTGGCCAGTCAACTTGGAATAGTTGGGCAATCCATAGGCCGCCCAGTCGGCATCTTGCGAATCAAATCGATGGTCCAAGTGATCCTCACAGCTTTAGCGCCACGGCTCTCAGGTTTCACGGTTTCACCATGCTCCGGGATTTCAGCTTTACGTGAAGACTGGTTACTGGTTGGAACAGTGGAAAGAAACAAACAAAAATGTGGATCCTTCAAGTCTCATGTGGCCCTTGAAACAACCAATCTTAGATATACAATGTGGTTGATTGGCACTTTCCCACGTGAAAAGTCTCACGACTTGTTGCCATCTGTTGCCATCCATCGATTGGCTCCTTCTCATAGAAAGCTGTCCGGCTCCTCCGGCTCGTGCCGGTGGCCGCGCCATCTCCTGACAAGTTGAAAAAAAACACATGGGATGAACCAATGATGAACCGATCCAAAATGGCAAAATTACGGCATTTACTGATGATATTCGCTATGACAATCTATGACACTTTTCTGTACATCATCAGTAAAGATCTCCTACGATTTGCAAGTGTCATGGTCTTTGTCACAGGCAAATTATCAGATTGCTTCCAGTCCTGGGTCCAAGGATAGCTTGAAGCAAACGCACGGCGACCTGGATTCTCGGACTTTGATGACATGTTCTCATGTTGAATCATTCTCCATACGGCAAAAGGATGCCATAGGTATCTATCAAACAAATCAAGTCCTGCATAAGGTGACATCACTGAGTGTCTGGCATCGTTCGATCAGGGGCGCTAGCGCTCAGCCCACTGGGAAACTATGCATTGCTGGGCTACTCAAAGAAGTTGATTGATATTACAACCCATGCTTTCCTGAAGAACGACATAGTCAAGGTCTGAGCTGATTCAAGTACAGCACTGTCTAGATGTAAAAACTAAATAGATGCTGAGTAATATGGAATGGTCTCAAACTGCTGTTGATGTTGTCGCATTAGTCACCTGCACTCGTTGTTGCCACACCTGGGGATGGTTTTCGAATTGCTGTGCCATCCTGTATCACTGTCTTGTCGATGGAGCCGAAATTTGGCAGGCAGTTGGACACCAAAAACCTTCATACACAGCTGAAATACACTGCTTAGACTGAAGCATACTGAAGCACATGTTGTGGGATTGTGCCAGCCATCCAAGCCATCCAAACCATCCAAGCCATCCAAGCCATTCAGCTCCTTGGAGGCCAACCAACTGGCCACATCTCCAAAGCAATGATGCGTCACATGGAGACCCGCCACATAGACCTGGAAGATACCGAAAGTTGGAAACGGTCGATTCCCATGTCTAGATGATTTCTAGATGATTTTATGATGGTTTACCTATTGCTAATTTAGTTAGTAATTGTTCATAGCCATGCTGTAAAATTACCTAAAATCAACCAACATCTGTGGTTGGAATGTGTTGAGGTTGGACCTACACCCACACTAGTCACTTTTGTGTGGTTGCCCGACAGGATCTGCTGCCGCAAACGGAACTGCTGCCGTTTAGCCCTCCAGCAGTGACCTGAGCTCCATACCTCTGGCATCAACCAGAAAGCCCGCTTCACTTTGTCTGCAGGAGCCAGAAAGTCCTCATCACTGGCAATGTAAGCAACAAACAATGATGGATCTCGACAAAATGAGAGTTCCGAACCTTAAAAACCTCAAAAGCAAATTGTGTTCCATATCGTTCCATAGTTTTTCCATCTTTACTAAACCCAAGATCCTATAGTGACCAGTGGAATCCAGTGGATCACTCAGTTGGCCCATCCCAGAGAAGTTCCCCTCGGTCCAGCGCGTAGACGTGGCTGGCCACGGCTTCTCTGAGATGGGCGAAGTCGAGATCATGGCAGCAGCAACCCTCACAGTGTCTCCAGCAATCCCCGCCTGACTTCACCAGTTTGGCAGGGCAGATCAAGCCACGAAACAAAAAAAAGGAATGAGATACCCTCTGGTTATTTAACATAGCCATGGAAAATGGCCCATTTATAGATGGTTTTTCCCATTAAAACCTCCATTTATGAGGGATTGTCCATGGCTATGTTAAATAACCAGATAAAAAATGGAATATGAATGAATATGATGGAATGAGATATGTTAATGACAAAGAATAAGAATGATATGACAATGATATGTTCATACAATATGTACTCAGTCCCCAAAATGGAAACTTAGAAATACAATCAAGATCAGATCCCCCAGCTTGCCATGCTTCAGCTCAACATCTTCAACCACAACTGCAGCCATCCTTCATATCCAGCGTGGAACAAAATCTCTGGAGATAGATGGACATTATCCTCCCAACCAAGCTGTTTGAATTTGGTTGAACGCCTATGAATCCCCAATGAGGCCTCTCTCCGTGCTACAGCATGACAAGTAAACCTCAGATGACTGGCGAATGTTCTGCTTTCGCTTGATTATATCATATCATGTCTAATTTACATCCCATGGTCCCATGGTTTGCCATTGATCACCCAACAAACCTCTGCAATTTGCTCCATCAACAAGCAACCTGCGACCAAGTCTTCTCGAAGCTGGGATTCGCATCCAAACTCACCAAATCTGAAATCAGCATGCCATCATTGACAGCGCCAGTGACAGCCCTGCTTTCGGAGCTGGGAGCTGTCAAATCAGCATGGCTGATTCAACTGTGGTCATTGTTCAACAGAAGTGACACTTGCCTTGGCATTTGACCATTGTTTCTGTTTCTGCTCCACTGGCAGTTCTTGCAATCATGTCTTCCTCTGAACCTTTCGGCTTTCAAGTGAGCATGGTGTAGTTTCTGCCACTCATCAAACGATCATCAGGAAGGAACCAGCAAGACTGTAGAATAATTAGATTTGAAACTTTCATCATCTTGCATCTGTGTATATCTATATTCAGATTCGCACTAGAGTTACTAGAAACAATTCCAGCAAACCGCCAAGGTTTTATGATGGGATTTTATGAAGCCTAGAACAACCATCCTCAAATAGCCAGAGGTTTCATGACACCCATCAACCCTAAAGAAAACACAACATCAAATGAGCATAGAGACTCCAGCATCAATGATGATTGATTTAAATTGATTAAATGGTTGCTTTCCCATCATTTCCAGATATCTCCAAGTACCAAAATCATCTGATCTTCTCTATCAATGCGGTTGGGGCCCACTCAATTCGTTTCTCCAACCGACTCCCCTTCCACAATTTTCTTGGCAATACGGCCCGCTCCCTTCCAGTGATTTCTTAAGCAATGACTTCCACTGCCCCGCTCAAAATCAGCTGATGCAGTAGCTGAATGGCGCTTTGGCCCAGTCGTTCCACCTCCATCAGCCGAAAGGGTCGCCCCTGCGCAGACAGCTCGCTGTAGAGGCCCAGACAATAGCGGACTGCTGAGAGCTGCTGTGGAGTCACAGGAAGCACCTCGGCCAACGTTGTTTTCTTTGGGGATTTATATAACGCAGATATAACTGGGATATACCTTCTGGTAATTTAACAGTTTGCTATAGACAATGATCATTTTAAGTAGGTATATGATCGATAAATGGGCCATTGTTCATAGCTATGTTAAACTGCCAGAGGGCAAAACCTTTGTAAAAGGGTTGACACGACGGGCAATGAAGATAAACGGAACGTAGTAGTGAAATGCGTCAAGTCCGAACTTGAGTGGCTTAAAGCCCTATGCTGGCCATTTAAATATGACAATTTAGGGGTATACTAACGGCATAGCACAACCCATTCTCATCTATAACTCTTATCGAGATATGACAACTTTGGGGTACGGTACAACTCATTCATGTCTAGACAAACCCAAATTTGGCACCAATGGGCCCACAAAATGTTAGCCAAGTCTGGAAATTTAACTCATCTCTTGGTGGTTGGACAATTTTGGCCAATCCCCACCTGGTTGTTCATAATCAACCTGGCTGGGATCACATCATCCAGCAACACGGCGCGCAAAGCGGATCTGCGCACAAATGACGCTTTCCCTGAGATCTTTGCAGGGAAATCGTCCAGTTTTGCACGTGTAAAAAGCTCATGATGCAACTTTCTTGCTGAAGATAAGGACTCAAACAGGTGAGGTTTCTGCAGTTGCAGCCCAGCATGTTTGATGGAATGGACACGTGCCAGTTGGAGAGCCCAAGGAAGTAAGTCCTCTGACTTCTTCTGAAGCTGTTTCACCAGCTTCAACATCGGCATCCTGCGACCATCCAACAACACCTCCATTGGCCCATGCTCAGGCAGAATCGTCAGCAAAGATGTCAGCAACTCCTTCAATTGCGATTTCACGCTGGGAAGATACTCAGCTGGTAGATCCTCGTTGCACAATGGAGTCAGCAGCAACCTGGAGGACCTTCCCACTTGGCCGCCGCCAGGCAGGCGATGCATCAGTGGGAGCGATGAGGACACCGTGAGCATCAGCCGGTAGAGGTCGTTCTCTTCATCATCAGGGGCAAACTCGTTGCTGGCAAGGAACGCTTCGATGGTCAGGTCGGGTTTCGCAACTTTGTGAATCATCGCAAAAATCAGCGCCAACCAAACATAGTACTGCCTCTCAATGTTGACCGTCAAGTGCATGGAATAGTCAGAAGATGTACTTGCTTGGTGTAAGGTGCCATAAGGTAAATACATCACATCACCTTGTTGCATTAGGACCTCCTCACACGTTCCATTCAGTTTCAGTGGCAGCTGGTCGTATCTTTCACGCGGTGCCATCCAACTAGTCACGTCACAGACCTTCCAAGATTTGGAACCACCCAGTTGAACCATGAACGCATCCATGACATCTGAATGCATCCCATAGCTTTGCGAATGTGGTGGAGTTAAATACATGTAGACATCCACAGGTAGATCCGCAGCTGCATTTAAGTCTTTGGCTACCCTTTTTCCAGGTTCAGACCATCGGTTTAAAGAATTGATCACCATTGAATGACCCTGTAAAAATGCTTCCTGGATATATTGCACTGGACTGGGGTTGTCGGATCGAAAAGCCTTCTGTGTCACTGGATGCTCAAGTGTCTCTATGACCTCCTCGTCTCGGCCCTGGCTTTCCAACCAATCTGCCACGTGTTCCAAGGTGATGGGAACAAGGGATTTGTTGTGGGGAAAATGCGACCATTGTTTTTCAAAAGTTCCAGCAAAAAACACATCAGCTTCTAAAGGGTAGATCCAGTCTTCCAAAATATCTGCCCGGGCAAACATCAAACAGCAAGTCAGAGCCACGGCGACACAACATGCGCTAGGCATCAAACTCACGCTCCGGAGTTGCATTGTATTCAAAATGGGCAATTTTTTCCACACCTTGCTCCCTGAGTTCCTTCAGAACGCAACCGCGATAAGTGTCGAATTTTTCTCGACACGGATCACTGTCACTGGATAAGTCGCCACTGAGGAAACTGGAGCGATACCACTGGATGAAGCACCGATCGTAGGCCTCTCGATGCACCGCGCAGGTCTTGGAGGCAGCTGCCACCGCCTCGCCCAAGCCACAGCTCCGGGTGGCCATGCCGCGTTCGCTGGAACCACCGTGGCCGCAGAAGGCGGTTAAACACATATGGATCCATGGACAGGACATTGTATTCTCACAGAATATCTGCATGGTTAGATATGGATCTAAAATGATAATATATATATATATAATATATATTATATATAATATATACTGTTGTTACAGTTGTTGTTATTTTGCGATATTCTGGGGCACTTCATAGTAATCCCATACCATCAGAATCATACAGCGATTGGTGGAAACTCATCCCGAGCAGAAACTGCCAGAATGGCTGATCCTCCTTTGACCGCAACCTTCAGGTAGCATAACAATGGACGCAAGGGAAATAGAACTTATATAATTGTTTAGAACTCATTCTTGTTCCAGGTGAAAAAGACTTCTTTTTGTCCTGATGTCACCAGCTCATCCTTGAGACCCTGGGCACTTGCTGGCAGACACATTGGTGGAACCTTCAGCATGACCCAGACCTTTGCCGCCAGCTAGAGCCAGCAGACAAGCTGTGTCCAACTTGCAACAAAGACACTGAGTGGACATGTTGGAAAACTATCCAAAACTCACTGTGTCAACCACTTCCAACCATGTGGTACCTCGGTGCGGTGCGGCACTGGCAGTGCAGCACGACACCGAGGTGCCTTTTAGCAAGTTCCTCCGCAAACTCTGCCCAAATTGAGCTGTGCCACCACAAACTCCCCTGACATCGGCCACCAGCAAGAGCTGTCAAGAGCCAACAGAATAAGCAAAGAAGCCGTGCTCGCAACTTCCAACAGCAGCTGATCGCTTGTGCCTGATACCGTGATACAAAAGTTATCAAAAGTCATCAAACTGACCACGTTGAAACTGTTGTCAACGGCATCCAAACCCTGGTACCTCGGTGCGGTGCGGCACTGGCAGTGCAGCACAGCACCGAGGTGCTCGGGTTTGGCTTCGATGTGTGGCAGGGTTTTCGAGCAGTCCGATAGTCATCAGGTCACATGTGGGCGAACGACCTCATCCAACCATCATTCAAACCATATCGCAACATCTTTCACTTGCATCCAACACGTAAAACAGCACCTGAGCCGCCTTCTTGCTGGCTGTTAATGACTTTGAAATCATTTGAAACCAGTTGAAACCGTTTGAAACCTATGCAACTACACTGATCTGATCTTTTGGAAGTTCCCCTACCACTCTAGCAAAATGCCGAGAGGCAGAAATTGCGCAGATCTGCCCACATCACAGGATACCATGGTGGTCCACGGCCTGCAAAAACAGGAAGGAAATCTCACTGTTCATGACCTTTACTCCAAGGATGAAGATAAGGAGGATTTACACCAGTTGAAGGCCTCTCAACAAAACAAGGTGACCCAAAGAAAATCAAAGAAACATATGGTTTGAGATTCATGAGCAAAAAACTTGCAGCTGTGCTGCAGCAATTGACGCAGCCGCCCTGCTACAAACCAGCTACAACTAAGGTTGAACCAAGTATAGAGGCAACCAGACTTCTGCTGAACAAGGCTACCACAAAGGATTCACAAGTCTCCACAACTACTGGAAGGACATGAGCAAGCTTGAACATCTCTGAGATATGAGCTTCTGGACTTAAATATTGCTGGTGAGCTGGCTGGATGTGGCACCCAAAAAACAGTTCCCATTCAAACATCATTGACAATTGATGATCTTTGGTTGAAGTGAGTTGGTGCGACGAGTTTCCTCCAGCAATAACAGCCTCACTTTCTGAGTCAAAACCCAAACTGCGTACTGAAACTGACCACACTTCCCACACCGCGCTTCAGTTCCAATTTTTCATTGACCAAATGTGCCAGCAACAAATCCTTCGCTGCAACAATCTTCTTGAAATGTTCCGTGTAAGCAATCTTGAGATGTTCCTCCACTTTGTCAGGATGGAATATCAAAACTCTCTTTTTGAAAGCTCGTTTGATTTCTGCAGCTGTCGCACCACCTTCAATTTGCAGAATCTCTGCAGCCTTCTGAAGATCAAGACCAGGAAAGGCCGTTTCGGGAGTTTGGTTTTCCGCGTCCTCAAAGGTGCCCTTTCGTTGGTGCTCATCCCACCACTTCTCCTCTGACGAACTTCCTGCCGTCTCCTCCCCAAAGACTTCAACGATCTTCGTAGGGTCATCCTTGAGGCCTTTGATGTGTTTCAGGAAGAGTAGCTCTCTGCTCGCACGTGTCACTGCCACATATGCCACATTCTGTTCTTGGATCCGTTCCCACTCCGGGACATCTTCGCCTTCCGCAAGATTCTTTAGAGGCAGGCTGAATGGTTGAAGGATGTAGACGGAATGCCATTCCAAACCTTTGGCCTTCAGGGTTTAAGCTTGGCAGCTGAACAACTTCAAAGTAGCAATCCAACATATTTGTTTCCCTACTGATTTGCAGTAGAGGTTTATAATTTACAAGATATTTTAAACCGAGAGGCAAGTGTACTTTGGTCATCTTTAGCCATAAACCACCACAACATGTGCATATTTAGGCCATGGGTGGAACCATTTTCAAACCTCATCACCATTTGATTCCAAGGCTAAATGGGATCTGAATCGCTTCCCCGTGGATCCATGGCCCATGGCCTTATGTATCGAAGACAGCGTCACACATTTCTTGTGCTGTCTGAAGCCGAACACACGGTCCAGCTCCGATTCTAACCTGAGGACTTTGCAGAGAACAGTGGTTGCGTTGGAGTGTGAAGGCT